GCATCGCCCCATCATTTCTTCTTAACTAACTACATCGTAAAATAAAGTTCACAGAAATAATGGAGACTTGACATTACGCTGTCTACGGCCGCTAATGTGCAAATTTAGCGCGATTTAATCGCCGCCATGTTGTTTCATCTTGTCACGTGACCCACATAAAAGCCGCAAATCGTTCATAGTGTCGTGATTTTGTCTTAATTGCATGCAATGTCATATACGGTGATGGTCTTTTTGATAGAGTGTGTGAAAAATCAATTATGCAAATATTGGCAAATGAAAATTTATTACGGAGAGTGACTTTACTAAAATTCACACCATCTTCTATTCTTGACATCGTAATTATTACATGTACACGAATTAATGTAATCTGAAAGGCTTGAATCCAGTTAGAAAATTGTCTCGCAATTGTTTGTTGTACATTGAACACCATACCTAACGTAAATATACAAGAGATTTAATTTATTAAGTAGAATTAAGATGTATATATAGGGCATAGCACGTTTTCATTTCAAATTTCCAACTTGATAATCATTATGTATGGATAATTTCATAACTTATAAATTTATCATTTGTAAAAGTTGATCACATATTATTTTGTATAATGCTAGGTAGATTTCCGGGGTCAGCCCGGTTCTTTTTAGTAATTCATAATTATTTTGGCGTATCCGTCATTTGATGTCATCATTACACACGAAGACAATATCAATTTTTTCATTTTTGACAAAACATGATATAACAATATTTCTATTTCCACTTCTAGCATGCTTTGCCTTTTCCATTGTTACATTCGAGTTCAATAATACCTGTAAGAAGACAATAAAAATGATTATTCCATTAACCTTATTACAATAATAATTTTAATTGTGTTCTTACAGAATATTCCCATCGTTGCAGATGCCCATTTTGTTAGAACATTCCTGTCTTTAAATCATGTTTTTATTTAATTGATACATTTGTTTATTTTAAGCCAGATATTTTTAATTCATTTTCCTTACTAGTTTCTTAGAATAGTTCCCTTTTTTGAGAAACAACTCTTATTGCCTTTGCCAGAACATTTCTTACTTTTCTTGACTAAAGAACATTCATTTAGCCAAGAAATCGCCAAATATGATTTGAGTTTTACGGTGACATAGGGAAAATCGGACAGTTACAGTTTTGGTTGTTGTGGCAGATAGATCCATATAACGGGTTTAGATAGTTGTTGTCGATTTCAATATGCCACACACACCACCACCACCACCACCACTGTCATATACACCAACTACAATAATATATTTACCTAAGTACATTACCATGAGTTTCAGTAAAATGTCATTAACTGAAAAAGCCAGGTTTTTATATATGTCAATTTGTAAGCTTCTGTGTATTTAGTACCGCCCACCCTATATCATAACAATATTACATGTTTTATATGTTCATTTCTTATGTCACAGAGATCCATAACACATTATGACTAAATTCTAAATAAATAAATTTATTCATCCGAAAATTTGCATAAAGCAAACAGACAAACAAAACAACAACAAACAACAACTCCATACATCTGTTATGGTGTTTTACTCGTATAACACCCAATAAGTTGTTTTATGCCATGAGTGGTTTAAAATGATCACATTCGTCGCTTGTAGTCAGTCGGTTATTGTGTACCAATTATTAATTTTAATTTCAGTATATTTATAAAAATAGAGCAGACGAGAGTTTAACAAATGATGCTTGAACATTAAGTTCTGGTTTATTTTATTAAGGAACAGGTGTATAAGTTGATTACTAGACAACACTGTACATGGCATACCAGATGTTCAAATCGGCGCTGTAGAATTCACGGTGTTTGCTCATTATTATTGTTATATTCACATATTGGCAAACAACACTCAGATCTGGTTTATATAAGATTTTGGTCATTAAAATTATATGGAGAAATATTTCTGAAAACAGAAAGGCACTATTTATAAACCGTGAATGTATAAAGTTTACGTTACAAACAATGAATTATATGTCTAGGAGATATTGTATATATGGTAGTAGTATCATTTACAATAGTAGGCTGTATAAAATCATATATTGTACATAAACGGTTACTATTTAATATTATATATCACGTAGAAACAAAAACGCGTGAATTTGATTTCAATTATGAGTATGTTATTAAAGGTGCTTCATTGAGGTCCAAAAGCCTAAAACATATAAATTATATTTGTTTCATAGATCAGCAGGGACCACTTAAAACAATATGATTAAAAAGTTAATTAAGAAATATACCATGAAGTAAATTAAAAATTGTATTTTTTGTTGTTTTTTTCTTAGTTTGATTTGAGTGAAAGCGTTACAACGCTTTTCAATTTTGGGTAATTTTTCACAGTCAAATTAAGAGCGACTGGCCTGAAATTTTGCACACAAGTTATTGGAAACAAATTGAACATTAATCTTGAAATATTATTTTTAGTCCAGTCATGTCAAAAAACCTCAGTGGAGTCCCTTTAATCCAATAAGGGCACTGATCAAACTTTATATACTGTAATAACATTGTTTTTGCAAATATAGAGAACAGAACAGTTTTTTCCAGAATAACACAGACAAAGAATATGACATTTTTTAACCAGGTTTTCAACGAAAACCGGGTTATTGTAATGCCGAAGTCGGCGGGCGGGCGGGCGGGCGTCAACTTTTGGTTTCCGCTCAATAACTTTAGTTTGTTTTGGCCTATTGACACCAAACTTGGTGTGTAGGTAGCTTATATCAAGAGGCAGCTTGGGACAGGTGTCTGTGATCAAGGTCAAGGTCACTGTTACTAAAAATAGAAATTCAGTTTCCGCTCAATAACTTGAGTTTGCTTTGGTCTATTGACACCAAACTTGGTGTATGGATAGCTTATATCAAGAAGCAGCTTGGGATTGCTACCCAGGTGTCTGTGATCTAGGTCAAGGTCACTGTTACTAAAAATAGAAGTTCAGTTCCCGCTCAATAACTTGAGTTTGCTTTGGCCTTTTGACACCAAACTTGGTGTATGGATAGGTTGTATCAAGAGGCAGCTTGGGATTGCTACCCAGGTGTCTGTGATCTAGGTCAAGGTCACTGTTACTAAAAATAGAAATTCAGTTTCTGCTCAATAACTTGAGATTGCTTTGGCCTATTGACACCAAACTTGGTGTATGGATAGGTTATATCAAGAGGCAGCTTGGGATTGCTATCCAGGTGTCTGTGATCAAGGTCAAGGTCACTGTTACTAAAAATAATAATACAGTTTCCGCTCAATAACTTGAGTTTGCTTTGGCCTATTGACACCAAACTTGGTGTATGGATAGGATATATCAAGAGGCAGCTTCGGATTGCTACCCAGGTGTCTGTGATCAAGGTCAAGGTCACTGTTACTAAAAATAGAAATTCAGTTTCCGCTCAATAACTTGAGTTTGCTTTGGCCTATTGATGTATGGATAGGTTGTATCAAGAGGCAGCTTGGGATTGCTACCCAGGTGTCTGTGATCTAGGTCAAGGTCACTGTATCTAAAAATAGAAATTCAGTTACTGCTCAATAAATTGAGTTTGCTTTGGCCTATTGACACCAAACCTGATGAATGGGTAGCTTATATCAAGAGGCAGCTTGGTGTTGCTACCCAGGTGTCTGTGATCAAGGTTAATGCATTTAGTTTTCATGTTATAACTTGAGTTTGCTTTGACCTTTTCACACCGAACTTGCTGAGTGGCAGCTTTGGATTGCCACTTAGATATCTGGGAGCAAGGTCAAGGTAATTTGCTTACAATAGAATTTTCAGTATCTACTCATTAACTTCAGTGCACTTTGACCAATTGATTGCTGTCACATCAAAACTTGGTCGTTGAAAACCTGGTTTTCGTCGCATTGCGGCGCTTCTTGTGTAATAATATATCTACATGTATGTAGGAAGTAGTATTCGTCAAATATTAATGAACACAAATTTTATATATATGTATATAAGGACAGTAAAATTGATAGGTGTAAAAAATAAAATCACTCACTGGTTTCAAGTCTATTTTGAACTCAAAAACAAATAATCGAGTATATACAAAGTATTTCTGCATTTTATGTCACAATAAATATGTTAACAGTATGTAATAATAATTTTGTTCTGTTATTACTTGTGTATACCTGCCTCACATCATATTATTGTCATGTAACAGTTTTAACCATTGTAGTCATAGTTTATTTGATGATTATTTTAGAAAAAAGTGTTATTTCATGGAAAATATTTATTATCGAAGAAAACGTCATAAGCATGTGATAAATTGGACAATAGCATGAAAATGCGTCACATCTGGGGTCAGTATAACAGGATCATTATCAAATAACGTATTTAGTTTCTGAATGATCTGTCAAAAATGTCATCAGTTCCAATACTTCTCTCAGAAAACACAGCGTAATTATCTCCCGATTGACAGCCAGATATTAACGTGTTTTCTCAAAAACATCTTTAAACAATATAAGGATTGGTCCTTCATAGCTATTTCATGTCCAAGTTTGTCTTTATATAGAGAACAGTAGATTTAGCAAGTTTGTTTTTGCATAGAAAACAGTAGCTATAGCAACAACATGGAACAGTTTGTCTTGATGTACAGAACAGAAGCTCTAGTAACTACATCAAACAGTTTGTCTTTATGTGTACAGAGCAGTGGCTGTTGACACTACATGTACATGTAATAGTCTCTCTTTGTATAGAAAAAAACAAATATAATAATGTAGCAAATATATATATAACAGTTTGTCTTGTAAAGAAAACAGTAGCTGTAGCAACTACACGCAGATGGAATAAAACTTCTTTATTCAAAACGCAACCTCAGCTTAAGATAAGAAGAAAAAATAATTTGATTTTTTTTACTAAGCATGTTGCTCTTGTTTGCATGCATACCTATATCAAAATACATAAAGACTTAAATGTACATGTCGTGTAGCCACTCCCGTAACTCTGTGTAGAAAATTGTTAGTTTAAATCTAATACATTATTTATAAAACTCCGGTTTGTCTTCAGTTTCCCCGTATTCCAAAGTCAAACTGGAACAAAAATCGTCACAGAATTGCTGTAAATCACCCGACGGTGTGAAACAAATAGCCACAAAGTATCCGTATATTGAACAAAGTTTTCATAGCAACAGTTGTCAGGGAAGCGAAGGGTCAAGTTCACCATCTGGAGAGTCTGTCTCGAGTTCAACATCAAGTCGGGAATGCTCAACTCCACAAGATACCCGCGTGCCAGCACCAGCTCACGCGGCTCACATTGAAAATAGTACTGGCGGTCACCAAGGTACAACGTATCACGGTCAAGACCTCAGGTAAATTTGACTGAATTGGGAAGTTATTTATTCCCCGCTTTTACCTGCAAATATGCATTTACTACTGATGTTTTTTAAAGAAAAAAGAAAAAATGGAAATTTTTCATTTTTTTTTTCATTTCGTAGAAGCTCGCCATTAATTGTTATGCAGCAAATATAATGTAGCAAGGACATAATCAAGCTCAATGTAGAAGCTTTATGAAAATTTTAGTTTACATAGTTGAGATTTGAAAACTAAATGTCAACTATAAAAATATGATAACTGTATGATAACTGTATAATAATTGTATGATAACTATATGATAACTGTATGATAACTATATGATAACTGTATGATAACTATATGATAGCTGTATGATAACTATATGATAACTGTATGATAACTATATGATAGCTGTATAATAACTATATAACAACTATATGATAACAGTATGAAAACTACATTTTAAAATTTACAATAACTGTATGATAACTGTATGATAACTGTATGATAACTGTATGATAACTTTATAATAACTATATGATTACTATATTATAATTATAATATATATGATAACTGTGCTGCACTTTCAGACTACCGCGTCAGTATGAAACAGATAGTAGCTGTACTAGTAACACAGATGTACAAAGCAATTATTCCCGTTTTATGTCGATGTCTTATTCACATTATCTAAAATCTGACGCACACGAGCGAACGTTCGAGAATGAAAATTCGTTTCCCAGAAGTCATGGATATATGTCGTCACCTTTTGGTCCTTTGTCTCCGCATTCTGTATCGATAAAACAAGAGCCCAGAGATTTTAATTTTGACAACAGTAAGTTATTTCTGAACAAGTCTCTTCAATTCATTGCAACAGATCATGTAACAAAAGTTTCGTTTGAATCAGCATAATTCAAGGTACAATTGGTTCATACAAAATGGTAATTGGTAATTTAAGAGAGTACACATTACAAAAATATAACATGTTATATCAAGACCAGTATGTTTGTAGCCAGGTTTGTTAATTTTTAGTCATTACGTAATCATAAATCAATGTATATCTTTTTATATCTTCGTATATTTGATATATTTTGTTTGTATTAAAAGGCTCAAGATTTCACCCAAATGCAGGTTTCCATAGATCATTATGGAACAGAAACCCGAGTCCCTCTGAAGGTAGGTCATGTGATATAGATATTATATAATAAGTATACATGTATATATAAGGACTCTTTCATCTGGTTGATAACTTCAAACTTTGCTTTACTATATCTATCTTTATCAAATGTAAGCTAAAATAAAATAATGTTTTATTCTGTTAACATTGTATAATTACAAATCTTTTTTTCTGATAATGAATGAATGTATGTTTCATGTCAAAATGACACAATTTGATATTTACAGTAAATCTTACCAAATTACCATTTATCTAACTACATCGAAAAGCGATATAAGAGGGAAACTTTGTTTATTTGTTAAATATCAGATTTCTTTTTCTAATTTCTAAGTTTCTAGGGGATCACTCAAAACACGGAGTTTTTCCTCCGAGAGTGTTGTATCTGTTTAGGATATTATCATTTTGTGTGATAAGATAATTTATATAATATTTTCAGTTGTATCTTGCCCCTATGAGAATACATTTCGATTATTTTATCCAGAAGATCCCATGTACTTTGACAGACTCCGAGAGAGACATCGATCTTACTATGAAGGTAAGAAAAGAATATTCATTTGTATTTTCTACAGCACATCTTATTATTTATGCTTTAGTTAAAAGTTATAATTTACAGGCACCACTTCTAGCGAAATTTTAACATAAAAATTTCGTTTTATTTATCGTTTAATTATGTTTGCGTGTGCATGTACATCAAACGGCATATAATTTATAAACTCTATTCACAGTTACCGAAAGTCAAATAAAGATCTTTTGTTAATGTTCTCCTTACAATCTCTTAAGATCTCGTACGCTCATATTCCTTTACATGTCTACATGTTCATCTTAAGTATTTAAAATTCGGATATACCCAATCATATTTCTCCCTACGTTTTCCTTTATTATGTCATTTCTTAAAAAGTTGATTTAAACATGTTTAAATATTTAAGCTCGATTGCGAAATAAGTTATTGCAACTTATATTAATCACTTTCGAGTCCACTTCCAGGAACCAACCAGCACTGGTATCATATGAAAACATGACCGTGACCCGTTTGGGTTCGAACCAATGATCCCTTAACAATTAGGCCACCGCTCCCCTTGCAAAGTTACCTTAGTCTCTCTACAATCATTTTTTTCCTTTTTCTTCATTGTACATTCAGCGATCTTAAATCTAAACAAAAAACTTTTGTATCTTTATTTTGAAAATTTACCATTGATATAAGTATTATTTTACTTATTTTCCAATCAAGTCTGATTTTCTTTAATGTAAAATGTTTGTTAATGTTATTTATGTACAATTTGTTGGATAAGTAAAGTTTAAACTAATCTCATAGGACATATTCTAAAAGAACGTACGGATCACCATAGTTTTTGTGACATATACATTTATCTTTTCTCAGTTTCTCGACTGTTTAATCCCCAAGTAAAATACTTAATTTACATACTAGTATTTGATATGATTTTGTGAACCCAGCTCCCATTATCACAAAATATGTCCTCCATTTTCTTTTCTAAATGATGGTTTGTTCAAAAGCAAGTGCAAAAAATACTTGTTTTATTTTTAAATATCATACCGCATGCTATACTATAATGCATTAAAATAAAATAATGTACATTTGTAATTTTGTAATAGTATTTTCAAGTTTCCATTTACATAGTGATGTTTTAACTCGATGTCATGGACACTAAAGCTCTAAATGTCCATGACAATGGCCTAATCTTATTTTAGGCGGTCTCCCGGCGAGATTTTGATATACATGGATAGCTTTTGTATGCTTGTTTTCTACACTAGCAACATCTTCACTTAGGCCAATAGAAAGTTATTGTTGCTAAGTATTTATTGTCTGTGGCACTTTGAAGGTAAAACATACGTGAATTTCTAAATCGTTAATATATATTGTATTATGTGTATCATTATAATGCAAAGTGCACAAGTCAGCAAATTTTGGAAAGGTAACAAGATGAAGGGATAAGAAAACAAACCTAGGTTACAAATCTTACTAGCCTAAGACTATTTTCTAGGTCTCGTGTTTCCTAGAATCCAATCTGCACGATAGCTGCGGGGTGTCTCTTTGTATTGTCAGATAATTATTAGTTTCACCATGCCAGATCAGGCGGAGGAATACAAATGACAAACTAGTGACAAACGTAAACAACAGGCTGGGGAATAGAAATTACAAACACTTTTATATCTGCTATTTCAATGAATTTAGCTACCTAGTTATATGTGTAAGTCGCTAAATCAATAAACAAGTGTTTCTTTACTTCTTTAATGTAAACATACAATGAATATGAAGATCAGGAATAAAAATATTGCCAGTTTTACGATGATATAATATATCGTTTGATAACGCCAGTTGCTCTTAAAGTTTCATGACAACAAATACATTTTGATCAATAAAATTTTATTTAAAACAATAAAGATTATTAAACATTCACATTTCTTAAACAGATTTCTTAAAAGTCGTAATCCGCCTCCTATATTCTTTAAATGTATTACTTCAGTTAAAATATGGCTTTTAATATGAAGTATTTAATCAAATATCAATGAGATATATAAATGTCACGTAATCAAGAAGTATACATGCAATATTCAATTGATATATATTATAGTATATATCGAATTTTGATGGGAGCAAAACTATGATTAATTAATTTGTTAACGACCAAATAAAATAATAATTCATAAGTATATTTTATTACTATTTGTTGTTTCATTTAGGAGGTTGAAAACATTAATATTTTCCCTTTTTCACCCGATGACTAGGCGTTGAATCTTAACGAGATGTTCTTGTAAAAATAAATTCTCTCAGTCAAATAGAATTTACATCGTGGGAAATTCTAATGCATAATTTTAACACTATTTTCATTATTGACCAAATGTCGAAGCTATTATTGTGTGTAAATGTAGGAGAGCGTCTGTGGAAGGTCTTCTCGACGTATCTGTTGTAAGAGAGATCAACTAAATCCAATTTGTAATTTAGTTGACTTTTCTCACTTGTTCAACTTCATCAGAGATCATAGGGCGATCCTCATTGTCAATCAATGACTTTCACCAGAAATACCAGACGACAATTGGAAAAAAGACGCGCTAAAAGTGGAATATGTCCGAGTTCTGTTCCTTGAACGAGTGTTTTTTAAGTTAAATTATAGTGATATGTGAATAAAATGAACATGATTTTTATCCATACGTACATATTAAACGTGGTTGTATTTAAAACTGCATGATATAGTAGTTTTGCTAGTACATGCAGTTATATTTTTTTCATTACGAGTATTTTAATCAAATACAGACCTATGCTATGAATTGTGTTTTAAATATGTTATCTATTCTAAAAAAAACTGTACATATCATTCTTAAATTCCAACAATCATCACAAAATATAGAAGGTATTGTAGTAAAACTTTCTCTGGTAAATTACCATTACTATCATGATCACTGATACACGTAGCGAACAATTTATTCTAGTATTAAAAACACCAAATTAGATTTAATAATTGGGGTTCGTTTTGATACATGTTCCCTAGAGATCGACAAAGCTCAGACTCCTATTAAGAGTGTCCTCAGAAATTCAGTATTAAAGAGACACCATATGTTTCTTAGGGAACCGTCTCAATTAGATTTCATTTGTTAGGCGCTGAAAGTCACCGTAAATTGGCAATGAATACTCTTTGATTTGTTTTGTGTAGCCAGCGCGTGATTTAAATACAGACGTGGCTAACGACACTGTTAACATGTTCACACTCTGACCACTGATTTAACTTGTTTATTTTTACTTTGTTAGTGTCAACATAGGTATTCTTTGCTTTTGATATAATTATTATGACGGCATAGTGTTTAATAACAATAATTTAAAGATTTGTAAAATGGCTTATTTTATGTTACATATAACGCTCAAATTGTGTAATTAGATATATATGTTTCAGCTAATTTCATATTGTCCGGGGGAATTTCGCCGAATTTTATGAAATGTTTAAATGAATACACCACGACTTAACTATAACATGAAAATGTTTATCATATTAACATAATGATTATAACCTTTCAAACCTTTCAAGTTTAACTCGTATAATATAATGTGTTATTAATGAATTAAATGGTCAAACAATGCACTACATATATTTTTTAAACGGAATGAATATTAGATATTCGTAAGAAAAGATTTTTTTACAAGAATAAATCATTATGAAAATATATTTTATATCCGGTTGTTTGGTATTTCTAAACAATTGTTCCAGGTAAAAGCACAAGAACATTTTAAAAATAGAAAAACATTAAACTAGTTTTCTTAGTGAAAGGATTTTTTTTTTCAAATATTAATAAATGTATATTTTCCATACATAATTACTTATTCAATCGTATTTGTGTTTTTTTTTCATCTCTAACGTACAAAACGTGTGTAACACAGTGAGGGCATAATAATTTGATTGTTAAACATTGATTTTTAACTATAGCTAAATATTTCACATACATTGAAAGCACAAAATGTTCTATCAAAAATGTTGTGTGTCTTTTTACCAAAAGTAACTACAATATGAATCTATTGGAACTGGTGTTCTAAATCAGTTTAAATACGTATATTTTGACTGAAATGATAAAATGAAAAAGTGGCCAATTTCATTCCCTAGATTTATTCATTTTTATTTATGTTTACGTCACTGAAAAGCATAAGAACATATGTTATAAACAACAATTCTTTTTTCTACTGTATTTAATTTGATACTGAAATATCACTGCAGATAACAATTCTAAAACATTTATATGTTTAAAGCTTCTAAGAGGCAGTTATATCTTATCATTCCTTATTCTTTTTACCAAATTCAAATATCTATTTAGTGAAAAAGAAATATACTATTGTTAAAATTGACTATTAAATATTGTTAATAAAAATCAGTGACAATGTTTCATCTTTCTTTAAACACAACAACTGCTTATTAACAATAATTTAAATCATTACTGTGCGTTTTAAAGACATCAAACTGTGAGCAGTTATGAAGATCCTAGTATGAAATGTTTTTATCCGATCATATGTACATAATATGTAGGTTAATTTACATGTTTATGTTGACAAGGAGTATATGTACGACTTATTTCCTGATATAATTTCACAAAAAATAAGGCTTCTCGAAGAGCTTTTGTAATGTTTTTCGTATTGAACTCGGGAATCAGGCAATTTTACTGTCTCAGATTGTGAGTGTATAAATGAAATACTGAAATTAAAACAATATAATGAAAGGTAGTCATCTCAATTATAAATTGTCCAGGTTAAAAACAGCAATACATGATTGTCTAAAATATTATTAGTAAATTTACAGTGCTTCATCTCCCTGGAAATGCCGTCTATTCCTCACGTGTAAACAGTTATTTCTGTATTTAATCAAATGAAGCAATGAAAGTGAAAAATGAAAACTCTAAAATACCAGTGATTAGTGAAAGCAAAGAAGATCAAAAACTACTTGAGTAACAAGTAGAAACCTAAACAATGCATCAACAAGATAGTCAGAACAAAGCTTAAATTGCATAAACACAATTCAAAGTTAATTATAATCGTTCAAAAGCTATGATCAAAGACGCCGACATCATTTGAAGTCACCGACATGGGATAAAGTGTGGTTAATTGGTATGTTTGGTAGGAATTAATTGATTCAAATATCGTAGACTATGAGGCAATGTGTGTAGTTCTCGTACACTGACACATTAATCTGACAGTGTTTTTATTTTCATCCTCGATGTCCGTTGAAGGTTAAAGAGTTGTGTATGTAATTCTCAAAATCCAGCGACACTCGTTAACAAGGGAGATCTACGCTTGTTTACAGTTGTATATACACTGGTTAAACATGATAATGTCCATCAAAAGATTAAGAAGCTTTGTTCATGTTTGTACAATGATTTAAATTTGAATTCTCTCGGCCTAAAGTTATTCAAAACTTGCACTATCGTTAATGAATCGCCCAAAACTATTTTCCATGTATGTTTAATGTTAAGGCCCTCTGAAGTAACCATCATCATTACTGAAAACTGCCTTCTCATCGTACAACAAATCGTTCTCTGTCAGTCTTCATTTACGTGTTCCATTTTCGGTTGAAATAACATAAAAGATGGGAAATAATTAAGCTGTATAATAATGCATATTTATTGATATATCAAACACTAAACAATGCCAATGAACTACATGACTGTACGAGTATATAAAATGACTAAGTGTAAAATGAGTGTTGGACAATAATAGCCCATGAGAAAGATAGACCACTACGACAATAACCCACTTGACAATTGTCCACTAGAACAGTAGCCCATTATAATCGGTATCTTTTTTATAAAAATGAAATTTGACAAAATTGATATATCATTATCTATGTAACGTGGTCAAAAATGTTACAATTGTAACTTTCATTTAACATTAAATATGATTAAAGGGTGTGTAATTGTAAGGCATTTAATCAAATTTCATTTTCACATTTAATCAAGTTTGACATTAGATTGTAAAAACAACCATTTTCACAAAGTCTAATTTCATGATGAAAAAAAAAATCATAGACAATAATAATTAATACAATCATAATTTACATAAAAAAGTCCAAATTTAATTTTTATTAGCAGTGGGCTATTGTCTTGCCTGCCTGATTTAGCAGTGGGCTATTGTCTTGCCTGCCTGATTTAGCAGTGGGCTATTGTCTTGCCTGCCTGATTTAGCAGTGGGCTATTGTCTTGCCTGCCTGATTTAGCAGTGGGCTATTGTCTTGCCTGCCTGATTCAGCAGTGGGCTATTGTCTTGCCTGCCTGATTTAGCAGTGGGCTGTTTTCCAGCAGGATATGTTGCATTTGTAATTTAGAATAATATTCGTAAAATATTCGTATAATTTTAGGATCAACATTACAAGTTAATTACTATGTGTATCTATTGGCTATGTTACAACATAATATTACTTCAATACTTACATGATAAACAAATCACTACTCTACAATAATTGCGAAAATATGTGGAGAAATGACACTCGTACAAAATAAAGCCCAGTTCATTTCTTTTTTGCAAACATGTTACCATTATTTTAATTGCTTATTCAATAACTCAATCAGTCGAGTGTATAAATAAATAGCATTTCATAGGGAGAGTTTTAGCAATATAGTAATATTTAGAACATGTTACATCCATCTTACTTTGAAACTAGGAACTTTGATGATATATTTTCTCTATGCATAAAATTTCTAAAATACTATATACTTACCAATACTATAACAAATAATGATCGCTTAAAACAAAAAGAGTAAATTTATCATTATATATAGTGACTATGATTTGTTATTAATATTTAAATTATCTGTGGAACAAAGAAGTTTAGTAGACTAGATGCACATAGTACTGCCACGGCAAGTCAAGTAACATACAGTAACATGTAGTGAATTAACAGTCATACTTTATTTGGCTATACTATTATCACCTAGCTACCAGTTGAAAAGATAATAAAATCAGTTATAACGCAGTATAGTTTCAGTACTGAAATTCTATAATATCTATGTTTTCTGCCAGAATACGTTTTTGAGGACTTACCCAATCAATGAAATTAATCATAAACACTTCATAGTACATGTATATAAAATTTTCTTTAATAACAGTTTCATTATTTTCGGTTTGTTGTAAATAAACATGAGTATTTTGATATTGTCAGGTATGGATGTGAAGGCGGAGTTATATAGAGACCTATATTTTGAACGATACCGCGACCTTCCGCATCCTTCATACCAGAGACGTGGCTCCCTACAACTGTGGCAATTTTTGGTCACCTTACTTGATGACCCTTCAAACTCATCGTTCATAGCCTGGACCGGGCGGGGCTTGGAGTTCAAGCTTATTGAACCAGAGGAGGTAATACATGAAAACTGTTATAGTAACAAATGGTTTAAACTAAAATGTGGTTACATGTGAAAGATCTAATGTCTATTAGTTACCACAAACTTATAGGAATTGATGATTTCATTAAATATAAATATCGTCATCAAGCGTTTACATTTAAAAGATGTTGCAGATTTCAATTTGTCTTCCACAAATGAACTTTCTCAATGATGAAGTACTTTATTGTAGTATGTATATGTTCTGTATTGTAGAATGTTAAGGCTCTCGCATATTAATAAGTATAGAATTATATATTGATATTTGCAGGTGGCAAGAAGATGGGGAATACAAAAGAATAGACCAGCCATGAACTATGATAAACTGAGTAGATCATTACGGTATTACTATGAGAAGGGTATAATGCAGAAAGTCGCCGGGGAAAGATATGTTTATAAATTTGTGTGTGATCCTGAAGCTCTTTTTTCAATGGCATTCCCTGACAATCACCGACCAGTTCTTAAAACTGACAGTTCGGTGCATTCCGTAAATGACGGACTTTACCGAGAATCTAGTCATTCACCGGAATCACAAACTACGTCATTTCCACTGACGTCAATACCGACGCCGACACAATTACCACAGTTACCGGCAATAAATGTTGCATCGTCTGCAGGAACAAATATATTCCCAGCACCAGACCCACACCGTTATCAATATATGCAGGATATGCAGAAAATGTACAATTCAGGACCATATATGGAATCATGCGTATATTAACCAAATCTTGTTGTTACAGTAAACTACACAATCTAAGAACATGTCACATTTCATTGTGGTTAGATTCATGTGTTGTTTATTTTTTAAATCTATACTATTTCTTTCTTTATTTATCGGATGTGTTTATGAATTCATCTTTACACTGAACTTTCTCATTTGAATGTGGTTTATTAAAAATTAGCTGTTATGCATGTATCAATCTGTTTGTAATCAGCCCCTTAATAACATACGTTTTATATAAAACACAGGGAGGTGTGACTTTAGTCAGATTTGTGCATATATTGGAATAAAACGTATGGCTGAACCGGTTATAAGTCCATTTCAAGTAGCTCTGTTATTTTAATACAACTCTAATAGATATCACATTTAAAAAATTGAGATGTCATATAATATAAACAATTTATTTCAGTATACTTGTGTCTAGCTTTATGACCTTATACAGATTATAAGATGTAAATTTCAAATAAGTATATTAACTAATTGAAAATCATACACTATTAGTTTACATTTTAACCGATTTGGCTGATGATGTCAGTCACTGCATACAAGTTATTAAACTCTAGCTGCTTTGTTTACAGAGATATTTAACAATAATATATTTGTATTTGTTAGTAATGTCAAATTAAATATGTAAATATACAGCAAGCACATGTACTCCTATATATAAAGTCCATTTTTACCATGGTATACGTATTTTTCGTACTGAAGTCAAGGGCTGTCAGAGAAGATGCGCTTGGCTGTTTAAATACCTGATAGTAAACGGAAAGACGCTATACGCCTTAAAATGTGACACATGTTTTGATATTGGTATTTCCTCAAGACGCATTAAAAAGGGCATTTCTTCTAGGGGCACTTAGAATAGGCATTTCTTCTAGGGGAACTTAGAATAGGCATTTCTTCCATTCTTATGGAATGTGGTAATACCGAGTGATTCTACTACTGCAGTACATATCCCATCCTTGCCGTTATCATTATTTTCCACTTTGCGTAATTTCTAGTTAAAATATTTCCTAAATTATTAAAGCTGATTTCTCTATGTACACCAAAAGCAGGGTCAATTTAAAACCTTGAAATATGATTTGAAAAATCTTGATAAAGAACCACTAGACAATCGGGGTGATATACACAATCAGGGTGATATGGTGCATGGCCTCAACGTCATCAAATGATACATGTTACAAAACAAACCTGGTGTTTTTTGTTTGTTTTTTGTTTGTTTTTTGTTTGTTTTTTTTTGTGTTTTGTTTTTTTGTTTTTTGTTTGTTTGTTGTTTTTTTTTTTTGGGGGGGGGGGGGGGGGTCCAAAGAATTTTTTGATGTTAGCCGATCCGACAGGAGTTATTATGACAGATTGTGTGTACCTTCCTACATTGGATAGTACCGTTATGAAAAAAATATTTTCGCACAGAAAAATCGTTCTTTTGGGGGAAAAAATGAGTGTCCTGCATATTAATGGTGCTAAAATGTACATAAGAATAAACTACTACATGTATACGGAATTTTCCTAACACTGCAAAATAAATTTCCGGTAACTATCGTTGGCTGAACGTAACTGTATATTTCTGGGAATTTGTGTTAAAAGTTGCTATTTAATATCTTATACCAAACAAAGCATCAATATAAAGTTACCGGTTTTCAACTTGTAATTGCTAGGTCCTACTGACTCGTTTTGCAACTAAAAGTAGGAAATTATAAATTGCAACAAACAGATGGCATAAGATCTAGTAATAATTGACAAGTAGCAATAACCAAGTTAAACAACCAGCAACTGTGTAGCATTGCCATATGTCAATATTCAATCTTATAATCTGTACAAGAAATTAGCAACTGTCATACCATACAGTTGGATTATAATGGGATGTCCAAGAATACATGTTAAGGGATGTACATACAAGGGCCTTGTTAAAGTCCGTCAGTTGTGTGATTCGGACAACTTAAATAAAAAAAGTGTTTCCAAAATTTGAAATAAGTATATACTTTCTATCAGACTTAATAAAATAGGTGATACGTTAAATTTATGTCGAATTCTTTGTTGAGTTTTACACAGTAAGTAACATATTAGAGAGAAGAATCTAGTTCTATGTAAAAAATCAGTATAGAAGAATGTCAATGCGTGTTTGTTTTGTTGACTTTTAAGCCACACCAACATTGTAAAGGCCAAATGGCGACTTTAAAGGTTTATATGTGGAGGAAGACCACAGACACCCCTTCGTGCATTATTTCAGTCACGAGCGGGACCACAGACTTTCCGTAAGGTGGCTGGTTCCTCACATGAAAAATGTAGGTTCCTAAAGGGATTCTATCAAAAGATTTAAAGTAAACACTCGTCTACGGAGGTCCTTATTGTAGACTTATGTTTGGCTAGTTGAATTTAAAATTTGAATTAACTTTTAACATGAAATATAAACAATTTCATTTTATTTCGGTGACCAGTCGTCGATATTTATTTATTTACTTCAACTTCTGGCCAACTTCATTGGTATTTGCCTCTTCTAACATTTTTCTTTCTTTTTCGTTGAGTTTGAAATTACATAGTAAAATATTTGATTTTATGAAGAATGAAACAAGATTCAAGAAAATTTGCTAGTATTCCTAACTTAAAGAGCTACAATTGTTCTGTCTCAACAATTTTTATCTTCATTATACTACAACGAGAGAGTATGAAAACCACAAGTACTGAAACAATCTAAATATTTATATTCATTAAAAGAAAAAGTCAATACTTAATGCATATACTATTAAAGAATTAATGATATAAGTATACGTGACATTCAATTCCAATCGCTTAATGGTAAAAAAATGAAGTAAAGTCAATTTGTCAATGTTGAAAACACACTTTTTGTGTGAAAACGAGGCTTCCATTCCTGAAATATTATCTAATCTACGAGAATATGAACTACCATCTGGTATTTAAATGAATAAGGACAAAATGGCAGGAATTTTAAAGGAAACTAGAAATGTGTCCATAGGACACGGGTGCCCCCACCGCGCCACTGTTCTGTCAATCTTTTTACTAAGTCAAGGGAAATAACTCCACAAATACTGGATAAATCCACAAGCGAAACCCCAGGTGCAAATCTAAAATATGCTGAGCAACCTGCCCATAAGGTTTAATGACTATGTCAAATCCTTTTTGAGAAACTTGCGACACAAGTTGAAAATTGCAAAAATTTTCTAAGTGAAGGGCAATAACTCTAAAAATACTAAATAAATCCAGACGAAAATACCTGGTGCACAACTGCACATGCTGATCAATATTCCTGTAAAGTTACATGACTCTAGGTCAAATACTTTTTGAGTTACGTGCGACACAAGTTGAAAATTGCAAAATTTTACTAAGTCAAGGGCAATAACTCTGAAAATACTAAGAATATCCACACGAAAATACCCAGGTGCACAACTACACATGCTGATCAACATTCCTGTAAAGTTTCATGACTCTAGGTCAAATACTTTTTGAGTTACATGCGACACAAGTTGAAAATTGCAAAATTTTACTAAGTCAAGGGCAATAACTCTGAAAATACTAATAATATCCACACGGAAATACCCAGGTGCACAACTACACATGCTGATCAACATTCCTGTAAAGTTTCATGACTCTAGGTCAAATACTTTTTGAGTTACATGCGACACAAGTTGAAAATTGCAAAATTTTACTAAGTCAAGGGCAATAACTCTGAAAATACTAAAAATATCCAGACGAAAATACCCAGGTGCACAACTATACATGCTGATCAACATTCCTGTAAAGTTTCATGACTCTAGGTCAAATACATTTTGAGTTACGTGCGACACAAAAGTGAACGGACGGACGGACGGAAGGAAGGACGGACGGACTGACAAGGGTAAATCTAAATGCCCGCCACTAACGTGGGGGCACAAAAACCAGATTTTCTTTAAAAATTCAAAGACATAAAAAAACAAAAGAAAAACAATGAATAGAGTTATGCAGTCCGATATATAAAGAATTGGAGCGCGCGCTATATGAGAAATATGGTACAGTAATCGTATATGGTCTAAATCATATAGAAGGAAATTGGATTAATGTTCTGTAAATGTCCCGCTAAGTTAAGAACTAACGTATGTATGCCTAAGTCTAGAACTACAATGTATGATACTGCCTAAAATATATATACCATGGATTGAAATATATAGGGATTCCTCGTGTAAAGCGAAATAGCTTTAGCGGAAATGTATACACAATTTTGTTTTACAGATGAATTTATCTGAACTTATATAACTGTTGTACAGCAACAGGAGGTGTCCGGAGAAAACCATAACTGTTGTGCATGTATATGTAAATCTCACAGAAAAGATTTTGCAAGTATGTATATTGGCATGATTTTAAACTGAAACTTCAGTCCATCGTAATTTCTAACTCAAGAAGAATACTTTTTGAACACAGTAAAAATCTAATTAATACAGAAACTTTTGAAACAAAATTATCTGGAAATATCGCAAAAACTGTAAGCAAAACAATAATGACTAATTTCTTAAGAAATTTTTTCAAAAATACAAGAGACTACTGTAGATATTTCTGTTAACGGAAGGGGCGTAACTCAGTTACAGTAGCATATTTTCTAACGTGGAGTTATTGGCTTTAAATAATGTTGGACCACAAATAATGTTGTCACCACAGAGCTCGACTATGATCAAATAGTCACATTTTTGCAATATTAAAGGTTTTATGTATATGAACTAAGGATGGTTGAGAAAATTACCAAGGATGTATATACGCGTTTCTTTATGTCAGAGACATAAAACTTTCTTCTGAGGAAGCCTAAAGTGCTATTTTGCTTTTATGTGAGCACATGGACCCAGCACAGTGTTGGGATAGTGTAAAAAAGTAATTCTAGAAAAAAAAAATATACTGTATATATAATATATAGACATTATATTTACAGTATATATTTTTTTCTAGAATTGCTTTTTTACACTATCCCAACACTGTACTGGGTCCCTGTGGTCGTCGCGGCAAAGAATCTAGTTTCATATGACACTTGTGTTGTTAGGTTTTTATGAGGGCTAGAAATGTATCGGGCCCAGTACACTACCTTGCTGGACCCCGCCGATGACTTAATCTGAATTAGACACAGCGCGGTCAACAACATGTAGCCTGTTTGTTAGGAAAGACTTGAGACAGGCATGCACGAGTTCCTAATGATTGAGTTTGGTAAGGAGCCGGACATGACGTGGTGCGCGTTCATGCGCTTTAGAAAAGTCTAACAAAATTTCCTTCGAATTTGTATGCATTCCGGTCCTGAAGCGTTCAATATGGATTAAAGCAGCATATGCCTCGATATTCATGTTATTTTTATGAAAATTCTGAAAATGTATTTAAAAGTGAAATGCATGTATTGTATAATGAACAAAGGAAGTAAGGCCTAAACATGATGATTACTGAAAAATCGCACGTACTGTAAGAATTATTTTTTCTCAAAATCTTAGTACATTTTTCTCAAGTTTAATTTCCTTTAAATATTTTGGCTCATCTAGAGGCATACAGCTTGTAGCAGTAAAACGTACTACTCTTTTTTTTAAACTTCGGGAAACAGACAGGAAACCGGAGACCGTCGATTAGTTTGTTGAAGCATTCGGACCATTTCGCAGATAAAAAAAGCCGAGAAGTTGCGAAAAAGGACAAGGAGTTTGCTGCTGATAGCAGTGTGTACAAAATAACAGTTACAACTTACTAGCCGTATATATACACTATTGGAGATTGGTGGTGAACCAGGTAATCTTGATTGCGGGTGTCTGTATGTTGCTCATTAGTTCATAAAGAATCACAGACCCCGGACTCGCTCCACCCTTGTCCACATTGATTTCGAGTCATTTCGTCCCCAAGAAATTTCGTACAAAACTAGCCAAGATTTTTTGTACCCAGATATATTGGCTCTTTACAAAATCGCAACAATATCTAAATATTTCAGATTTTTTTAATCATCTTTTATAATAATATGAAATTAGACAGGAACAAGGAAGTCTGCTAAAAAATTGTTCATTTTTCCATTTTAAAAACCTGTGTCAACTGTCATTCGGTATTTCATGAACCGCTTCTGTTACCAATCGGAACACTCGACGATAAATATTAATCTGAAAGGTGGTGATTGTTTCTTTATCGAAATACCAAGTCTATTATCATTGAGTTACTTTGAAAATGGTTCTGGCTGGTCCCCACTAGAACTGACTCTGAAATTTCATTGATAGGCATAGAATTCTATAAATTAATTAATATATTCTTTAATTGTTTTTTATTTGGTTTCCTTTTAAATATACCCAAGTAGTCTATAGCCGGGCAAGCAGAAGCCCCCGCTCCCTTTGCGATCCCAGCCTTTGACTTCCTGGTAGGAAATTAGGCAATATACCTATGAACGAGGTAGTCAGTTAAAATAATTGTTCATATTTTATTTTACATTTTCAGTTTTATTTTTAAAGTTGTCATTTGGTATTTCATACACTGCTTCCGTATTTCACATGGAACCCCTCAACCATTATTATTAAACCGAAAAGTTGCAATTGTTCCGTTATCGGAATACATTGAGTGACATTGATTTGAAAATGGTGGCGCCCATATGACATAGTCCAAGATATCAGATGCAGTCTTCACGAAAAACTTTAAAAAGCACAGGACATTCGGGCCAGTAAAATTTCAAATCTTACTGGACCTGTTGATTTTTAGCCGGACCAAATACATTCAGATAGGTAATAATTCGATGGGTAAAGGAAAACATTTTATCATGCTTCCCTTGATAATTTTGAAAGAAGCATAATACTTCTTGTATTCTGGGCCATACATGTATGTTGACAGCTTTGAAAAATCTATGAAGACCAAATGTTTAGGCTAAATTGACTAGAATTGAACATGAACAATGCAATTTGCTTCAAACGAATCACTTTCACACAAAATATTTACTTAACTCAATAATAACAAAATCATAGGTAAATATAGACCATAATAAACAATGGTTTAATTTCCGTAACTGTACGGTGCGGTACGAAAAATATCCAAGAAAAAAAATGGCGGTCTCCATTACTCAATAAAATTTAGACATCTCTCGCTGTATTTTGAACATTTAGGACAGAATTGATGGGTTTCATTTGCAAAAAAAAACAGTATTTTAGAGAGCCCTGCTTCATTATTTTGATGAATTTTTCTTATAATATATTTGCATTGCCAAAAATCTACTGGCCTGTCGGACCACCAACCTTGCAATAATCACCAGACCAATGCTAAATTTAGTGGCCTCGGGCCTCGGACTGGCGTTAATTTCGAAGACTGCAGATGTTACGGGCTTGTTAATGTTATAGTTTATGTCGGTCATAGTGAAATGTCTTGGGACCGATTTTTTGTACTGTTGCAGATTTAGTTTGGGCTGAAAAGTCCTGTTTGTTTGACCTGTAACCTGCATCAAAATTCATGAAGTAATTTACATGCCACATGATTTTTAAAAAGAAATCCATTATCATAAAGTTTAAATAAAGTATCTGGTATTTTTTAGTATGCATGAATGAATTTGTTTAAAAAACAGGTTTATGAATGAGATAAAGTCCCCACTTGATTCATCTTACTGATGATGTGATTTGCACCTGTTCCCCCTCCACCCTCATTCTCAACAAATTGTTATGTACAACATTCTGTTGTAATAAAAGTATTGAATAATAAGTATACTATTAGCTAAACAACTATCCATCAAACTTAGTTATATTATTTGCAGTTAAAAAAATACAAATAAGAATTGTCTTGGTTGTCAAAAATAAATGTTAAGGGAAATGTAGGCTGGGTTTAAACCCCAAGTGTCTGTGACTTGGACTGTCATAGATTAGATTATTTTTATTCCAACCTCAAACTAAAACTATCACAAAAAACATTATGAAATTCAATAAATAAAATCTATCATTTTACATTAAAACAACATGTACATATATACCATGTGGTTTGCAAATGGTACTTGCATACAAAAATGCAGTTATTTTTGAATAATTTTAAAAATATTTTTTCAATATGTTTCCTCACCTAAACTTGAGTATAACATATCCATATTTGGGTTATTCATATTTTTTTCTTGTATTTATTATTATAGTCTATTTCATAAAAGCTTATAACTATGTAAAGCTGTTTACTTTAAGATTGAAATGTTTTTCAGTGTACAAAAATGAAGACAAATGTTTTTTTATCTTTTTTATTTAGCCATACAGAATGGAATCATTGACAAACTTACAAGTATTGGAAGGACATGATGACCAGGTGTGGTGTGTAGCCTGGAACCCTACCGGTACACTGCTTGCTTCTTGTGGTGGGGATAAGACAGTGAGAGTTTGGGGTCAGGAAGGGGAGGTATGGGTCTGCAAGTCTGTGCTGTCTGAAGGTCATCAAAGAACTATAAGGTATGAACACCAAAATGATATATTAATTTATACACTAGCAATGTAGTACTGTTTTTATGAGGAAAGTCGAGAACTCAGCAAACATAAGTTTTTGAGGTTGCTATATAAGAATCAGTTTATCCTGTCTCTATGGCCATGTGTTATATCTTTATTTTTCTTCTATTTCTTTAAAACCAGAGCAGGTTTTAATTTCAAAATTTGAATATATCACATATTACCACAGATGGCCAAATTTTACAACATTTTCATTTTGAGAAAGTTATGCTTTCTTTGTTTCTTAATCTTACAAAATGTTCTTAACTATAAATTTATCTTTATGAACATAGTACAGGTTAAAAGTTTAAACATTTAGTGAATATGAAGGGTTGAGCTTAGTTGGTCATGTTTCACAACTCTTTAGTTATGTCCCTTTTTATTATACATCGGAAAAAATATTGTTATATACTGGTCCTACATCCATCTGTCTTGTAAGCAATTTTTGGCCAGTCTGTATGTTTTAAACCGGTGGAAGGAAATTAAAACTACTTAGCTGAAATGAGAGCACAGGTTTGACCTTTCTGAGGTCAAGGTCACACTTGGTCATTTTGTATGGATTTCAAAATTTAGTGTCTGCTCTGTATCTTTTGAACTGATAGAAAGATATTAAAACTGTTTTTGCAGAAATATTACTTATAATGAGAATATTTGCAGAACACATGTTATGGCTTCCTGATGTCAAATTGGCCCGCCTTGGGGACTACTTTATTTCCATGAATATAGACTTCTTTAAGGAAAACATATTTAAGTTTCATTGTGTGAAACTACACAATAAAACTACAAACCAAATTCTGGAACATAGATTTGGGGAATGAATCAACATTCAGAAATAGTTGTAGTAAGTTTTAGTTTTCAAATTTGATCCACATGTGAATTTAAATTTGAGAAATCTAAATATGACTGTGAATGACCTTGAATATGACTAACCTATGTGTTGAAGAAATTATTATAGTCTCTAGAAGATCATTGTGGCTTTTTTGTTAAGATAGTAAATACAGGTCACTTATTATTGTAGACATGTTTCCTGGTCACCGTGTGGTAACTACCTAGCTAGTGCAAGTTTTGATGCTACTATTTGTATCTGGAGTCGTAAAGAAGGAGAGTTTGAATGTATAGCTACACTAGAAGGTCATGAGAATGAAGTAAAGGCTGTGGCCTGGGCATGTACTGGCAGTTTATTAGCAACCTGTAGTAGAGATAAGAGTGTATGGATATGGGAAGGTAAGTGCTTTAATAATACATTGTATCTCATAATCTTATCATTTAAAGTCTTTTTTGTTGAGTCCACTTTACATTTTGCAAAACCTAATTGTGACACTGACAGTTCATGCATGCATTAATGTGTGTAGCTGTCTGATCATATTTAGATATGGTTTAAGGATTGTCTATAACTTATAACAATATAAAGCAGCTGACTTTGTTATCACCAGCTTTTTGCATTAAATTTTATATTGCAGTGACAGAAGATGAAGATTATGAATGTGCCAGTGTATTGAGCTCACATACACAAGATGTTAAACACTGCACATGGCATCCAAACAAAGAGATTCTTGCCTCTTGTAGTTATGATGACACAATCAAACTATACAAAGAAGAAATTGATGACTGGACATGTTTTGCTACGTTAGAATCCCATGAGTCAACAGTATGGAAAGTTTGTTTTGATAAAAGTGGAAGTCGACTTGCGTCAGTGAGTGATGATAAAACAGTGAAAATATGGCAGGAGTACATGCCTGGTAATAAAGAAGGTGTTCAGACTACTGGAAAAGATGGTACATGGAAGTGTGTGTGTACCCTATCAGGATATCATAACCGCTCAATATTTGATGTAGATTGGTCATGTTTAACTGATAGAATAGTTACAGCATGTGGAGATGATTGTATTCGTGTGTTTAAGGAGGTTAATGGCTCAGATTATAATCAGCCATCTTATAGTCTAACTGTAACTGTAACACAGGCACACGACCAGGATGTTAACTCTGTAGCTTGGAATCCTAAAAAGGAGAATCTGTTAGCATCATGTAGTGATGATGGTACAGTTAAGTTATGGCTATACAAAGATTAAAACTGATTCAAAATAGAATGAACTGTTTATATATAGATGTGCTAGTTGTTTGATGAAATAGAATATTTGATTTTCCCTTAGGAAGGTATATATATAATAGAACTGTCTGTATGACCTGCTGTCCGCCCGTCTTCTTTGTGGTTAACCTTTTTTTTGGAAATTTCAACTTCCATTCTTACCGCATGGCATTTCAGATTTACTGCGCTCTCATCAATATATACATTCATGTCAACTTTGATTTGAAACCTATTGCAGCCATCTGGTTAACTCAATAGGTAGAGTGATGAATTGGGCGACCGGAGTTCGATTCCTGTATGGCGCAGGTCTCATTTGTTGTGATTGATCATGAAATCTTTTTTACGGTCATTCGCACTGTTACACTGCTCTTATGCACAGAAGTTTTCAGTTCCTCGGAAAGTGAAGGCAACTAGTACTGGTAAACTGTTTGTCAGTCTGCCCAGGAAGGATGCTGTGGCTGAACTGTGCTCTGGTGAATTCAATGTGGCTTACTGCCGTGATTTGGAGTAAAAACTACCGACACCACAACCATGATTTGAAACTAACAGAGCTGTTCAATTGCAGAGGAAAACTGCAAAATTACCTACCTTTAAGATTCACTATTTGTACTTAAGGTATATAATTATAAAATCTGGATTCAGGAAGAAAACACATTTTTTTCAAAATGTATATGAAACTGTGATGTTTTACAATTAAGGATATTGGTAAAGTGATTCCATGTAAGTTTTGAATTAAAGCTGTGATTCACTATAATGTATGCTTAATATGAAATAATGTGCTACCTTTGATGTGGAAAGCTCGTATATAATTTAATAACAAGCGTAAAATTTTCAGTATTTTAACCAGGTCTTTCCTGGACTTGGTAAAAAAAGTAAATCAGATAGTTTGTACAGTTAAATAGATATGAATGAATTGGTGTGTTCAATCTATCATCAAAGTGTCCCCAGTGTTTTCGAATATCCTGTCTGCCATTAATGTTTATCTGTAGCAGAGTTGTTGTTTTTACCATATACATGTATTTATCAAAATGGATATTAAAAGATAACAATTTATGTTTATCACTGTTAGTCATACATGCTACAGCACTAGCGTGGCTTGTGGCCGCATTTGTACTTTCCATGTATTAATCATAATCTTAAAAATAATTTGCAAAATATTCGAAACTTCAATTGTGCAGTATTAGTAGACCTCAAGTTAGAGTCATAGACACAACAAAACAAGAAATGCTTTTTTAAGCCTTAACATGTGCATAAAATCTAATGATGAACCTATTGAACAAATTGTGTGACTGAGTCAGTCTGAAGACATCAATGTCTAACATATAACTACACACAGTCAAAGGGGATGAAGCCAGTGGAACTTCTGATATACCTGAAAATGAGATGGTACATGGAGAAAATGATAAATGTATCATCAATTTGCCTGCAAGCAGAGAAGGGCTTGGTGCTGCCAAGCTGGCACAGGAACTTGCTCTCCTTGTGACAAAATACTGTGTGGGAATAGATGATTGTGTCACTGATGCTTTCCTCTTGTAACCTCCATCACTTAAATTGTAAGCAAGGCTTGAGACAACAGGTTTAATTTTAGCCAACCTCAACCACCTGAGTCAAGGCTTGTTATACCCCGAAACGAAGTTTTGGGGGTGGGGGATGGTATATAGGAGTCACCCGGTCGGTTGGTAGGTCGGTCGGTCCAGATGTCTGTTGCATTTTCCTTGTCCGGAGCATAACTTGAAGACTAATGGTTGAAATTCAATACAACTTCATACAATGGTCAAGCACATTGAGAGGAAGTGCAGTGCACAAGAACCATAACTCAATCTCACTAATTACAGAGATATTGCCCTTTGTTACTTTTTCTTGTCCGGAGCATAACTTGAAAACTACTGGTTGGAATTCAAAACAACTTCATACAATGATCAAGCACAATAAGGGGAAGTGCAGTGCACAAGAATCATAACTCTAGAGTAATTTCAGATTTCTTGCCCTTTGTTACTTTTCCATTGCTTTCTTTTGTCCGGACCATAACGGTTGGAATTCAATATAACTTCATACAATGGTCAAATACATTGAGAGGAAGTGCAGTACACAAGACTTATTACAGAGTTACTGCCCTTTGTTTCTTTTCCTTGTCGGAAGCATAACTTGAAAACTACTAGTTGGAATTTACTACAACTTCATACAATCGTCAAGCACATTAAGAGGAAGTGCAGTGCACAATAACCATAACTCTGTCTAGAGTAATTATTTAGTAACTGCCCTTTGTTACTTTTCCATTGCTTTTTTCTTGTCCAGAGCATAACTTGAAAAGTACTTTTCGGAATTCAATACAATTTCATACAATGGTAAGTATATTCTTGACTCATTTAAGAGTTTTTGCCCTTTGTTACATTTTAATGTCCAGTGAATAACTTGAAAATTAATGTTTGGAATTCAATGAAACTTCATACAATGGTCAAGGGCAGTGAGATGAAGTGCAGTGCAGAAGAACCATAACTCTATTTTGACTAGTTACAGTTATTGCCCATTGTTAACTTTTTGTCCAGTGGCATAACTTGAAAACTTAGTTGTTGGAATTCAAATACAAAACTTCATACAATGTGAGCAAGCCCGAAATGAAGAGGAAGTGCAGTGATACAATAACCAGTAACTCATCCTTCATATTTTGTAGAGTTATTTCCCTTTGTTCCTTTCCCATTGTCCGGTGCATAACTAAAAAACTAATGTTAGAATTCATGCTCAATGCGGTTAACCTTTCTGACTTATACAGAAGTAATTCATTGTCCAACCACATTGAAGGAAATGCAACATAAAACCACAACTATTTTAATTGCCAGAACATAACTCTATTCATTCTTTACTAAGGTATCTGTTTATAACTTCCATCAATTTCGAAGCATCCTGAGGGGGTAAATCACTTTAGTGATAGTTTAGTTATTATAGCTTTATTCTTGACGAATTTCTTTTTCACTTAGGTTAGAAAATACCTTTATGGCCCTGTTACTTTTGTCAAGGTCACTGTGCTTAAAACAGATTTTTAACCAGGTTTTAGCCGAAGGAAAAAACTGGTTATTAGATTGAGGTATGTCGGGGCGGGCGGCGCGGGAGCCGTATGGCCCGGCGTAAACAATTTCTTCTGTGCGCAACTCCTCCTACATTTCTCAACAGATTTTGACCAAACTTTCACAGAAGCTTTTCATCAAGTGCCTGAGCGCATATTGTCGGGGTTTTTGCGATTAGAATAATATTTGACCTAATTATGGCCCTTTGTTTTTTTCCTTATATAAATATATAGTGAACAATTTCTTCTGTGCGCAAGCTCCTCCTACATTTTTCTCAACGGGTTTGAACCAAACTTCTCAGAAGCTTTGTCATCAAAGTGCCTGACACATATTGCAGGGTTTGCAATTGGTATAGTATTTGACCTAATTATGGGGGGGGGATGCCCTTGTTTTTTTTCCTTATATAAAATATAGAGTGAACAATTTCTTCTGTGCGCACTCCTCCTACATTTTTCAAGCGGATTTGACCAAACTTTCTTAGAAGCTGTTATCAAAGTGCCTGGCACATATTGTTGGGTTTTGTGATTGGATATATTTGACCGAATTATGGCCCTTTGTATATTTTTTCCTTATACAGAATATATAGAGAACAATTTCTTCTGTGCTCAACTCCTCCACATTTCTCAACGGATTTTGACCAAACTTTCTTAGAAGCTTTGTTATCAAGTGCCTGGCACATATTGTCGGGGTTTGTGATTGGATAATAGTTGAACCGAAATTATGGCCTTTGTATATTTTTTTCCTTATACAGAATATATAGTGAACAATTTCTACAGTGCGCAACTTCTCCTACATTTCTCAATGGATTTTGACCAAACTTTCACAGAAGCTTTGTCATCAAGTGCCCTGGCGCTCAACTAAATCCCATGTTTCTTCCAAGACATCATTCAAGTATTTTTTTAAAATTGTAACATACTTTCTTGATATCGCACAAAACACCACAACGCCAATATTGTTGACAAAAGAAAATGACAAGAGACGCAAAAATGCAAAAATTAAGCAAAAATAAAGTACTGTTTACCTTTCTAAAAACATTTGGGAAAAAAAAAGCGAATAGACAACATACATAGACATTTCTCAATATTTTTTGTTTGAGGAATATTAAAAAAGCCCATAATTCCTCCTAAAATCAGTTCAATTAAACAAATGCCACTCAATGACAAAGCTTCTGGAAATAAGTTTGCCTGAAAGAATCCTGGTTCATCGCATTGCGATGTTCCTTGTTATTCTTTTGTTCATACAGCTTTTGTTTTATTTGCTAATGTCTCGTAATAAAGAGGAAGATAGTTTGGGTAGTCCTCTAACTCGGGGTTAAGTAATGGGACAGTCTGACACTTATGTCAATGGTCTCCAATGCTAAAACTGATTTTTGCACTTTTGCTCATACAGCCTTTATCTATTGACTGATGTCGTTCTTATTTGGTAGGTAAATGTTTTGGTTGGTATTATAACTGTGGGTGGAGGAGATCAAGGTCAAGAGACTGAAAAATAGAGTTTAACACTTTACTGACTGATGTCTCATGTATTTTGGTAGATAGATACCTTGAGTTGCCTTCCAAACAGTAATGTTTATATTTTTGCTAAAATAGCTTTTACTGATTAATGTGCATTGAATACATTGACAAACTTGCAGGTTTGGGAAGCATCGATTGCCTTCAGCGATTTCCCAAGGGATAAAATGAATATGTTCTAAGTTTTTGTTAGTGACCTACCTTTATGGCCCAGTGGTTATGGAGCTGAAACAGTGACCTCCACAATACAATAAATAACTATTACAGTAATTGGCCTTCATAAAACAACAACACTTTGATCTTTATTTAGACACTTCATTTTTAAAAACATTTTACAATGAAAATTTGTTTACCTTTTTCACAAATCAAATAATACAAAACAGCAATTATATCACTTTGTAACAAAACAAGTACTAATGCTTAATCTATGTACAAATGTATCTTTAAAACGCATATACAATACATGCATGTTATATATCCATATACAATGTTGTGTTATATATCTCATATCCAATGCATGTATGTACTATATTCCATATACAATACATGTTAGTTATACCGGATATATCATATACAATGCATCGCATAATATTACACCTTATCCAATACAATGCATAGTATGTTAAATATATCCATATCACAATCACATGCCATGTTATAACTATCGAATATACAAATACACTGCATGTTATCATTATACCATAATACAATACATCGCAGTTATAAATATCCATCATCATACATCACAGTATCAATAACATATACCAATACACGATGCATCTTATATCTCCATAATACACCACGAACATGCATGTTATACTACTCCATATACAATGCATGCATGTTATAATATCCATATATCGCATACACTGCAGTTTTATATCCATATTACAATGCCTGCAGTTATATATTCTATCACAGTTAAATCCATATACAAAAAAAATATCCATACACAATCATGCAGTATATATCCATCACAAATACATGCAAGTTAATAAAACATAACTCCATAATACAATGCATGCATGATTATACTATCCATATACCACATTCATTTTTCTATCCCATATCAACTATCATGCCATGTTTTATATCCATAACAAACATGCAGTTATATCCTAACCTACACATGTATATATCCATATAAAAATATCCATACTACCTGCCATATATGTTATATATCATACACATGCATTTATGTAATTCTATAACCAATTGCATTAGTATTATACTATACACCAATGCATGTATGATTATAGTACATCTAACACAATGCCATTATGAAAATCATATATGATACACAAGCCAGGATTATATAAATCCATATCAATGTATCTTATAAAGATCTAACACAACCAACCTTGTAGAAACTCCAAAAACGCACAACTTTCAGTAAATGTTTTTAGATTGCTGCGACAAAAATTTAATGGTCATAAATCAAGAATTCAGCCTTTTTATAATTCCATGATACAATTAAAGTGTATAAACATTATCTATTATGTTAATTTCTGTCATTCAATACATAGGAATGCTTGCATGTGCCAAATTTTTACATAAAAATCTTTCTATATTATCTCTGAACTATTATCACAAACCATAATTTGTTGTGCTAGCAGTTATAATAAGTTAGCAATACTATGTTGCAACAATAGTTATTGAAAACAGATATTCTATACCATAAAACTTACACATCCACTGCTCGTCCACTGTTTTATTTTTGTAATAAATAAAGGCAAAAAGGTACCACCAGATCCGAACAAGAAAAAATCCCCCCCCCCCCCCAATTTACCTAGATAACAAATTACGAGACCCATTGTTTTGTTTCAAATAAATTTGATTAACAGTAAAGATAAATACTAATGGCAGAAAAGTTAAGTTGGATAAATCATAAATAAGTAAAAATAGTATACATGTACATCTCCATAATACATCATAGTAAAAACCACACATATCTGACACACACATCTATATACACAGAAAACAAACATATATAAATGTACTAAACATACACCATCACCAAATGTCAATAGAGGGACAATTTATCGCATTACTTTTTCTCTCATGTAAAATTTGAGCCTTGCAAATTAGCTGTAATCATTTAAAAAGCACTTGCGATCATTTAAATGGATAATGCCACCATCTGACTTTCGTGTGAACGCCCACCAGTTCAACGAATTATTTCTAGTACATAAAGTATAAGATTAACAAGGCAATATACACGTCCACTGTGACATTGTAACAAGTAAGTCATTTCATCATTGTGTTTCTAAAAAGGTTCAGTGTTATTACAATAACATATAATTAACATAATTTTTATTGACAAATGTTTTGTTAATTTACTGTCTTATAGCAATTAAAATGTTCTTTCTACAAAATTCAAACCCGAAATAGGTATTTCAAATTCTGCTGGCTGAAGAATAAATTGATGAGTAATTTTTACCCTTTCATCAATGTTAAAGCATTTCATTTTACATAACTTTTATATGATACTCTTTATAATAGATTTTTACAAACAAATACAGAGTAATAAACATGTTTAACATAAAACAAGAAATATACTTGCTTAACAATAGGAAAGACTAATTCACCCACCACATAGAACATAACAAGTCCTTAGTTTCACTCAATAAAGATTTAAAAAAAAGAAGTAACTATAAAAGCTTTCTTTCTAATTTATTTGTACATAATGTGGGATTTAACTCAATAACAGTGTTGACGCAGTACCTCTATAGACCATGCTGAAATATGATCACAAAGTAAAAATATTGCTTTTTCGCTGATTCTTAAAAATTTTTCAAATAATGTGTTAAGAGGATTACATTAGGATCTTAAGTACATTTCGCAAAGTGTAAAAAGGTGACATTAGATTTTTATTCATTCAAGCATCTTCTGTATATACAGTAATAAGTAGGTATTTGGAAAAAAATCTTTTAGTCTCCCTAAGGTTTTACACTGGCATCGTATTATAACTAACTTCAGTACTAGTAGAAGCCACTTACATCAAAAACAAGGATTGAATGCTTCAGATTAATACTTCATATTTCAAGACAAAAATCAAAATCAGAATTCTTTATTTCAGTTCATTTGTTTTGCCTCACTTTAGCATGGCTTGGTCAATTAGAATAGTTCAAAACTGTTTGTGCTGTTGACCACATTAGTGTACTAAAGCTGTCACTAACAAGAATATCATTACAATGTTTGTCAATTAACTCAATCATTAAAATAAATAAAAACGTGCAGGCTGTTTTACATTTCTTCATATTTAATGCGCTTGTTTTCTCACAAAAAAATTGTTGTAAAATGTTTGTTTTCTTGATGAAATACAATTGTTCTACTTGTTATTGTAGGACAACTCCATGAAAAAGTTTACCAAAAAAAAATTTCATAAACCAGTCACAAGTAATTATGTGATGAGAAGACTTGATGACTTCATTCTCTTCTGATGATCAAAACAAATTGGACGCCACATCTCTGCTTCTCAGCATCTCATCATTTTAGCTAAGTATTTAGCTAAATATGCCGAAGTGAATAAAATCTGTACAGCAGTTCGAGGAACTTGTCAATTGTCAAGCTTATAACCGCTCATGGTCTGAGGGGTTAGAGCAAATCGCCATAACCTCTCTGGCGTGGGACCGAAGATGCTTGTGAGTTAAGAAAAACTCGGAGGAAGGTAGAATCTCCAGGAACGTGATTAGGACCTACCTGCCTCTATGACTGAAAATAACACTGTGAAATACCTAATTGATAGTAGCAATTTTAGGTTACCTACAAACAACACACAATGGTCTTAAACCTGACAAGTTTTCTGAAACAACAACATTACAGTGATACTGCTACACGATCACTTTTATTTCACACAACATATCTGAACTCGCCTATAATGTATTACATATATACTAATACACTGTATATAAATAAATGAAAACAACTGATCTTGGGGCTTCAAATGCAACTGAACATTGTCAAAACGCCAACAGTTTGTATCATTCATGCCATTTGTTTATACAAAAAAAAAACTTAAAAAATAAATGTCATTTAGTAAAGTGTATCATTAAACTCCTTACTAGAAATAAAAACAAAACACTGTAGTAAGGGACCAGGGACGTCTTAATCGCTCAAATCCAATTTCTACAACATATTGTAAACTTTATATACAAACCAAATATATTTATTTAATTTATCTGAAAAAAAAAAATTACAACAAAATAGGTTTAGAAAAAATGCCTCATTTAAGAATATGTGTAAAGACATACAAACAACATAATATAGCTCATTCGCAAATGTAAAAGGGGAGTTAAAGAACACAATCATGGGAAGTTCTGCTCAAGTTTGGTTCAAATATACCAATTTTGTAAAGGCCCAACACAATTCTGTGATAGTTCTTTGAACAGGAAAGCATGATTTTGGCTAACTATCTCGGTATTACATAACCTTGAAAGACACACACCAAAGCAGACAAATCAACGTCACACCACGTCTGGAGCTAGACGATGAATACTCCTAATTCAATCCATTTAACTATGCTCTTACAATATTAGATGAAGCTGGCCATCAACACAGACAAAGTGCAAAACATAAAGACACATAAAAATCGATAACTTAGAAGGCCTACACATAAGTCAGCAAAACAATGCATAAAATTCAACAACACATCTTAGCACTATCCATTTATCTTACAATTATTGTAAAATTTCATGTTCAACTCTTCAGTAGGTCCTGGAAGCATGCAATATTTTTTTCTTAACAAGAGACTGCACATATACCAATAGCATGTAAAAATCTTAAATACTGTCTATAAAAGGACAAAAAGAATGGATTAAGAAACTAAAGACTATATAAATGAAAAGTGACAGACAGCATAACAGCTTTTAAGAATTCATCTTATGAGGTCATCTTATTACGAAACAAATAAATTAATTTAGTTTATTGCTGATTTTAATGAGCACAATAATATAAAATATTGAGCCCGCAATATAAAACTTGAACATGGTCTCTATGCAAAAATACTATACACTCCCACCCGCCAACTTGCACACTTTTATCTGGAGGGTAATGAACATGGAGCAATGATTTCTAAAATGTAGGCAAAAGTTTGAAAATAAATGTAGCTGTTTACATGAGCATTTTGTTTATCATTGCAAATGTATAACATACGTTCATGGTTCGGAAGAAAATATGAGGAATGACTATCAGCAATATTTTAAAAGTTATTGAAGAGTAAATAAGTCCGCAAATGCATTCCATACTGAGATCCATCAACCTAGATGTGTACAGTTTAACCACATAAGAGTGGTCAATTGAATAATACCAACGAGAAAATAAAATACAAGGCAATATACTCCAAATATTGAAAAAATTACAGTTCTGAAAAATACTTAAATACAGGTCAATTAAAAAAAGCACCGACTATAGTTACAGATAAGTTTATAGCCAATCTATGTTAAGACACCAACATCAAGTCATGACCAATCACCTATTTCAGGCAAGTTTTTCCTTTATTTTTCAATACTACATGATCCCACTTAAAAAAGCCCAAACTGTTAATTTGACTAACTGATCCATCTCTCATTAGAAACAAAGAATACAAATTTATGCAGAACAGAACTATTCAGAAAGTTGCATCTTTCATCACAGTCATACCCGTACACAGGATAATTCCTATCATGATGGATAATAAAACATTTAATAATCTAAAATAACAGTACAAGATTGGCACAGAAGTAGAATTGTATTCTCCTCTGCACATTTATCAAATATTTAAACAGCTTTTGTTCATATACGGAGTAATTTTTTCTCAAAATAGAGGGGAGAGGAACTGTAAGTCACACGACACTCGGTATATGGTCACACCTGACAATTTACACTAAAAAAGTGCCTTTTGTACAGAATTCAGGCAGGGCAGGCAGTGTTTAAAAACCAGTCAAATTAAATAAAGCCGTAGAATCGATAGAAAGAATCAATGTCTCCGGAGAAATTTGAACCCAACATAAATCCACTCCCAAGCGACGCGACACCTCTCTCATTTAGTATTAAAGTGATCACTAAGAAAATGAAGAATTACTGTTTTTTTCTTGCATTTTTTTTCTATAAATTCTGACATATAATATTGTGTTCTATTTGATGTACCCAAGTTATTCCATGTTACCTATATAAACATCTGAATAGTGATTAGTAAGCTGAACTTGCAACAATTTACACTAAAAAAACAATACTCACTTTTTGAGCCAGCCACCATATTAACTATAGATCATCTTTTATGATGCACAAAACATCAAATTACACAAAAAAGTCAGTCCACACATGTACACCACTTGTCTTGTTTTACTCTCTGAATACTTTATCTCACATTCTCGTTCTTTCATCAAGATAATGTCCTTGTTCTATTCTCATTGTAAAAAACCTTTCAAAAGTATTTTAACAACTGCAGCTCTCCATTCTCTCAGCCTCCTGAAAAATAGAACATTCACTAACAAGCATACGTTGTTTCTGAATATATGCAAAAATCATCTTTTCACATTCAATATATCAAATTGACATGACGCGCATTAGAACATATACAAAAAAGTGTTAATATTGATCCCTCCAACCAATATTAAAAAAAGGATGCTGGCAATTTCTGATCAAAATTTGTAAAGGACAACATACATACCTATCATAAATCAAACAAAAGAAAAATTGGGGATTAATCTTAAAAACAAAAATTTTTGTTTGGATATACTACGTAGCAACTATTTCAGATTTTTAAACAAGACTTCTAGATAATATATGCAATATGACTGGAGTGAAAATTGAAATCACGTTCAGGTGTTTATGAAAAATGTATAAAACCACACAATCAAGTGAATGTTACAAACTTAATTACCAAAACTAGCTATGGACTATTACAAGAATGCAATGTTCAATGACTTATACCACCCAAACAAAAAGAAAACACTGATGACAAAATACTTTCAAGCACTATCACAAGAATCGTCGAAAGAGATAATTTTTATCACAGGGAACACTCATTTCTTTATGAATATCAATTGTTAAACAAAACAAAGCATCACACATTGAATGGTTAACCGTTGACCCAAATCCTTTCATAAAAATATCATAACTGCTACTTTAAAGTTTTGTTGGCCTGTAACTTTGAAAACTAAAGAGACCTTATTAAGATTGCTTTTCAAAAAAGTCCTTATTTGAGGCATCTGTGTGCAGACTAGAACAAGCTTATATAATTTTTTGTATGCATTCAGAGTTTCCTCGAAAAAGTAAATGTTCAATCATACAGATAAGAAGATCTCATACTCTTAATGGTAATCCTATTATAAGACTTAACAGGGAGTTAAGCCAGTATACACTTAGGACAATATCTTTTTAAAGAAATTTTGATCAAAAACGACATCAGAGTCACACAAAACTCACTACTCGAGATAACTGAACCTGTGAGCAAGAAAATATCAAATATTCTATGCAGAGTACAGCTAAGAAATAATCACCTAAGATGTAACTCTGTCATGTTGAAAACTGCACAATACCAATACGACAAAGAACCACCACCTCTTCCATAACTACTACTACAATATCTTGACTGTTCCTTCGCAGATTTCTTCACAACCTTAATATAACATTTCAGGCTGAAGAAAAATACAAACTATTAACAATGCAATTCACTTTGAATTTACCAAAGGACGCATAACTCAAATAGTTTGACTAGCCATTATTTCACTCAATGAATATATGAAACCTATTCTGAATCTTCATTAAACATGGTCGAAAGTGTACGGTCGTATTAACTTCAATCCACATCCCACTCAACCGCTCGCAAGTTCCAAATGCATCCGCTTTAATGGTCAGATGCGTTCTACTCATCTCGTTCATTCCTGTTTATCTACATGAACACTTGTGGTCTAAAGCTGTAAAGATTTACAGTGTTGGGGCTATGTAAAAACTATTCAACCATTACAATCTAATCAACCACTCAGTAAAATATGTTTCAAAATGGTAATGGTAAAAACAAAGCCTTTTTTGAAAAATAAAGTGCCATGACCCATATTTCAATTCATATATACTTTCCTTTCAAGAAAATTAGACAAATAAATTTGAAAATTATATAGAAAATCTGTTCCATTCATGATGCTATACTATAAGTATGGCATGGTACTCAACTCATATTGCAATGTGTTTTACCAAATCAATTCAGTATTAATTACCATAGCATCACAAGACTCTCTTGGTCCTTACACTATAGTTAAGGAAACTGTTCATACAAAGTAAAAATCCCACCTGTAAATTCAAAATTTGTTTGTCTCTTGAACAACAATGTGCTCAAATGTTTGCTTTTCTGAATATATTCATAAACTTACTAATAAAGGTATTACAAAATTTTCTTTTCTGATGGAGGAAGACCTCTCATGAAAATCTAAGCACTGGGTGTAAAAATGGAAAGCCAAAGTGATGCTTTTAAGACATGTATCTGCTTTTACCTCATCACTGAGAAGAATATGTATAGATGATGGACCCTGGATGAAAACTTGATGAATCATGTATGCTTCTATTTTGATCAGTTCAGACACCTTATTAACAAGCTCTTGACTAGTAAGCTGCTCTAGGTATACTGCATGATAAACTGAAAGTATAATAAAACATCTGACTATAATTCTTCCCATTCTACACAATAAACAACAAGAGCTGTCGGTAGGACAGCAACGCTCGACTATTCTTAGTGCTTGATAGTAAAAAACAAGCAATGTATCATAGTATTGCAAGGCAATCCATAAGTCCCTACCGGTTAGAACCCCATCAACATTCTGAAGGGCCATTGGCCATTCACTAATGTTTCAATTTTTCTCTTACTATTTTAAGTAAATTTGTTGGAAAAGTTCTTTAAAAGTGATCACAGGAAACAGTTTTTATGAACAGACAGACAGACAGACGGACTGAGGACACTCTAAAGTTAATATTTGAAACATCCCTGTTACCAAAATATAACATTTTAAAAGCAAAATTCTTAAAGAGGAGATAACTCTTGAATTAAAGATGCAATTTCATAAAAATGTTCAGCTCTTTCTGACTAATCACAAATATTGTTATATTTGCCATGTTTTAAGCCTATTTGTTGCCAAGGCTACTGATATTTTATCAAAATAGGAAGAACAGATAAGACATGCATAATCTCAAGACTGCTATCTACCCATATGTCAAGTTTCATAAAAATATTTCCAGTACTTTTTGAGTTATCACTGGATTCAGTTTATGTGTAAAATTTGCGAAATTTTCAGTCTATGTGTTGCCATAGCAACAAGAATTTTCAACATAGGAAAAAAAGAAAAAGACGTGCATAATCTCAAGACTGCCATCTATCCATATACCAAGTTTCATAAAAATAATTTCAGTTCTTTTTGCGTTATCACTGGATCCAGTTTATGTGTAAAATTTGCCATATTTTCAGCATATTTGTTGCCATAGCAACCAGAATTTTCAACATAGGAAGAAAAGAAAAAGACGTGCATAATCTCAAGACTGCCATCTACCCATATGTTAAGTTTCATAAAAACATTTCCAGTACTTTTTGCGTTATCACTGGATCCAGTTTAAGTGTAAAATTTGCCATATTTTCAGCCTATTTGTTGCCATAGCAACCAAAATTTTCAACATAGGAAGAAAAGAAAAAGACGTGCATAATCTCCATACTGCCATCTATCCATATACCAAGTTTCATAAAAATATTTTCAGTACTTTTCATGTTATCGCGGGATCCAGTTTTGTGGACGGACTGACGGACGGACGGAGGTTAAACCTAAAGTCCCCTCCGGTAAACCGGTAGGGGACTAAAAATGCTTGATACAGTTAGCTTCTCCTGTTTACAGGTTGGGGTCATGATTGTGAACAAGTGTGCAAAGTTTCAAAGCCATATGTCAATGGACTTTGAAAATATTTGAACTATTACAAAAACTTTGACATAAATTCTAAGTAAAACAAGAGCCACCGCCGGGCGGGGGCAACGCTCGACTTTTTACTTTTTCTAAACGCAAACATAGAAAGGTTTGAACATATATTGATGTTTCCTTTTTATAAATTTAGTTGATCTGTCTTGTCACATTAGTTTTTTTTATATATTTTGTATATATATGAATAGAAACATTAAGCATATTTCTAAAAATAGCAACAGTACGCAATTTCTAAAAATAGCAACAATGACGCAATTTCTAAAAATAGCAACAATGACGCAATTTCTAAAAATAGAAAAAATGACGCAATTTCTAAAACTAGAAAAAAATGACGCAATTTCTAAAAATAGAAACAATGACGCAATTTCTAAAAATAGAAAAAATGACGCAATTTCTAAAAATAGAAAAACATGACGCAATTTCTAAAAATAGAAAAACATGACGCAATTTCTAAAAATAGAAAAAAATGAAGCAATTTCTAGAAATAGAAAAAAATGACGCAATTTCTAAAAATAGAAAAAAATGAAGCAATTTCTAGAAATAGAAAAAAATGACGCAATTTCTAAAAATAGAAAAACATGACGCAATTTCTAAAAATAGAAAAACATGACGCAATTTCTAAAAATAGAAAAACATGACGCAATTTCTAAAAATAGAAAAAAAATGACGCAATTTCTAAAAATAGAAAAACATGACGCAATTTCTAAAAATAGAAACAATGACGCAATTTCTAAAAATAGAAACAATGACGCAATTTCTAAAAACAGAACAAAAATGACGAAATTTCTGAAAATAGAAAAAATGACGCAATTTCTAAAAATAGCAACAATGACGCAATTTCTAAAAATAGAAAAAAAAATGACGCAAATTCTAAAAATAGCAACAATGACGCAATTTCTAAAAATAGAAAAAATGACGCAATTTTCTAAAAATAGAAAAACATGACGCAATTATATACATGTATATATATATATATATATATATATATATATTTGATATATATATATATATACATGCATATATATATATATATATATATATATATATATACCTGCATATATGTATATATATACACACACACATTTATATATATATTTATATATAATACATATACTATACATACACATACCACACACACACCAATAAATGCACAATCTGAGAAAATTCAGTAATATAACCTTCAAGGTCAAGGTCATTAAAGAGCCCAAGCAAATTTGGGTTTGATAAACAACAAGGTCTGGTCCTTAAGAATGTTCTGTTATAATATGAAGTTTATCCCTTTAAAAATAGCAAAGTTACAGTCAGTTACTGCCAAAACAATGAAAATTTCAATAATTTGACCTTCAAAGGCAATGTCATTAATGAGTGAAGGTCAAGGTCTTTCGGTATATTTTTAACAGTTATCTTTGAAGATTATTATGTTCAAGTTTGAAGACAATCCATTCAAAAATAACAAAGTTACAGCCAATAATAGCCAAAAAAATGAAAATTTCAATAATTTGACCTTCAAAGTCAAGGTCATTGATGAGTGAATGTCAAGGTCTGACTGGTTATTTTTAAGGGATATCCTTGAAGATTATTATGTTCAAGTTTGAAGACAATCCATTCAAAAATAACAAAGTAACAGCCAATAACAGCATGAACAAGCAAAAATTGGACTTTTAACCTTGAAGGTCAAGGTCATTTATGGATGAAGGTCAAGGTTAGTGTGGTCTACTGAAAGGTCTTGTCCCAAGGGTTGTTGTGGCCAAGTATGAAGACAATACACCAAGAAATAAAAAAGTTATGATCCAGGTACAAGTTTTCGGACGGCAACGGCAACGGCAACGGAGACGGCAACGGCAACGCCGACCTGACTATAACAATACCTCTACTTTTTTTTTCAAAAAAAAAAAAAAAAAAGTCGAGCTAAAAAGGGGCATAATTCTGTCAAAATGCTTGATAGAGTTACCTCCTCCTGTCTACAGGTTGGGGTCATGATGGTTAACAAGTGTGCAAAGTTTCAAAGCCATATGTCAATGGACTTTGAAAATGTTTGAGGTATTACAAAAACTTTAACGTAAATTCTAAGTCGAAAAAGGGGCATAATTCTGTCAAAATGCTTGATAGAGTTACCTCCTCCTGTCTACATGTTGGGGTCATGATGGTGAACAAGTGTGCAAAGTTTCAAAGCCATATGTCAATGGACTTTGAAAATATTTGAACTATTACAAAAACTTTAACATAAATTCTAAGTCGAAAAAGGGGCATAATTCTGTCAAAATGCTTGATAGAGTTACCTCCTCCTGTCTACAGGTTGGGGCCATGATGGTGAATAAGTATGCAAAGTTTCAAACCCATATGTCAATGGACTTTGAAAATATTTGAGGTATTACAAAAACTTTAACGTAAATTCTAAGTTGAAAAAGGGGCATGATTCTGTCAAAATGCTTGATAGAGTTACCTCCTCCTGTCTACAGGTTGGGGTTATGATGGTGAACAAGTGTGCAAAGTTTCAAAGCCATATGTCAATGGACTTTGAAAATATTTGAACTATTACAAAAACTTTAACATAAGTGGTTACGCCGACGCTCGGGTGACTACAATAGCTCTACTTATTCTTATCGAATAGTCTAGCTAACAAGAGCTGTCACAGGAGACAGCAAAGCTCGACTAATGAAATTAAGTTACAGTAAAAAATAACATTTGTTAACATAAATTCCAAGATCAAGGGGAATAATTCTAGAAATAGTCATGCTAGAGTTATGGACCTTGCCACACAACATTTGTGTAATGATAAGAAATATATATTTGAAGTTTGAAGTAGATACCTTAAAAAATAAAGAAGTTATTATATTTCTTAAAGAAAATCCTAAGTTCAAAGAGAGATAAATCTGTAAATATTGCTTCAAGAGTTATGAACATTGTCATATAAAATGTAACTGATGATAAGGAATAAGTATTTGAAGTTTGAGGTAGATACCTTTAAAAATAAAAAAGTTAAAATAAAAAATAACATTTTTCTAGTAAATAAATCTAAGTTTATGGGGAGATAATTCTTGCAATATTGGTGCTAGAGTTATGAACCTTGTCACATAAGATGTGGATGATGATAACGTAAATATATTTGAAGTATGAAGTTGATCTCTTCAGAAATAAATAAGTTACAGTAAAAAATATTATTTTTTATGGAAAATTCTAAGTTCAAAGGGAGATAAATCTGAAAATATTGGTGCTAGAGTTATGAACCTTGTCACATAAGATGGGGATGATGATAACGTAAATATATTTGAAGTATGAGGTTGATCCCTTAAGAAATAAAGAAGAAACAGTAAGAAATAGTATTTTTCGAGGAAAATTCTAAGTTCAAGGGGAGATAAATCTGAAAATATTGGTGCTAGAGTTATGAACCTTGTCACATAAGATGGGGATGATAATAAGGTACATATATTTGAAGTATGAGGTTGATCCCTTAAGAAATAAAGAAGTATCAGTAAAAAATAGTATTTTTTAAGGAAAATTCTAAGTTCAAGGGGAGATAAATCTGAAAATATTGGTGCTAGAGTTATGAACCTTGTCACATAAGATGTGGTTGATGATAAGGAACATATATTTGAAGTTTGAAGTTGATACCTTAAGAAATGACAAAGTTATAGTGAAAAATATTTTACTGCACCAAAACTTTAATCTAAAATCTGGACGCGGACGCCGGGGCGAGTAGGACAGCTCTCCATATACTTCGTATAGTCGAGCTAAAAATCAAACAATTGTTACAGTCTTATTCTATAAAAGTTTTAACTTTCATAACTTGAATAAACAACAATATTCCAGTTGAGTGTAACTCTATTTTCAAAAACCATCTCTCATTGATAGAACAAAGATCTGCCAGCAGGACAGCATGATTGAATTCTCTGTTTTTGATAGTTGAACCAGGCCATAGGCAATGCCATAGTACAAAAATAAGAATATTTCATTCAAAATCCACACTACAGGTACAAGTCTTAGTTACCCAGTTTGTTCACATCTCACAAAACTGTGTTAAAACTGGTCTTAAATATCTAACAGGAAAAACATTTAAAACTTACCCTCAAAACAAAATGCCCAGGGCTAAGACATTTTAATCATATAAATGTTTTGCAGAGAATACTTTGTGTTGAGGTGATTAAAACTGTTGTATGTACATAATACATTAAAATGGAATGGTCCACAATGGGCACTTTTTCAGTAAGTGTTTAAAATATTGACGAGGAAAAAATAGAAATGTATCATTAAGATATTCTTATAGAATATTTCTAAAACAAGAGGGCCATGATGGACCTGAAATCGCTCACCTGTATATAGGCCGCTGGGCCAATTTTAAACAAGGGACTTTTATTTGAACAAAATTTTAAGTAAAGGTTTTTTATGGGAAATTTTCATTACAAATCAATGGTACTGAAATGTCCCTGGGTGGCAGGGTTAATTTTGACCCCAGGGACCTGACTAAGAGGTCTACTAGCCAATAATACATGGCCAAATATCTAACCTCTAAGAAATGTACATTTACATAAGAAGTTTAATATGTTATCATATGTAAGTATAAGTAAACTGAGTGAATATTTAAATGCTATTTTCCTATGCAAGCCAATGTAACAAAAGTGACCTGGGCAGTGTTATTTATGACCCCAGGTCTAGCTTGAAAAAAATTATATATAAGTTCACTAGGTAATTATTCACACCAACTATCTCTGGTATTAGTATTCTGCTTTAAATGTTTTTTTCTGTAAGACACTATACAAAACCATGTGCTCAAGGAGGCATAACCAATTCTGACACAAGCATGTTGATGTGAACAAGCAAGTTCGTTGAATTTATATCCCCGCCGAGTACTGGTTATTATTAACACAACAACTGAAGACATAAGGCTTTATTTATATATTAATCATGGCATATACAGTAATATTCTTTGAACTTTATAAATATTCAGGGAAATAACAGAGCCATAACTTTGTGTTAAATAGTAACATCTGGAAATGCCAATGAGATGTATGCATACTACATAACTAATCAAGGGCCATAAATCTGTGTTATAAGTATCTGACCGGAACAAGGCGACTATATGCACATCTCCTCTTTAAGTATCCCATAAAGTTTCATTGAATTCCAGCCAGTAGTTACAGAGAAGTAGCACGGAAACGATTATTGCTCTGGTTGTATACTGCCTAAGTTATCAAGGGTCATAACTCTAAGTTAAAATGTCTGACCCGAACAAGGCGACAATATGCGCATCTCCTCTTGGTATTGAAGGTTCAAATAAAGTTTCATTGAATTCCAGCCAGTAGTTGCAGAGAAGTAGCGAGGAAACGAATATTTTTCTATATGGATACTGCATAACTAATCAAGGGCCATAACTATGAGTTAAAGTGTCTGACTGGAACAAGGCAACAATATGCGCATCTCCTCTTGGTATTGAAGATTCCCATAAAGTTTTGTTGAATTCCAGCCAGTAGTTGCAGAGAAGTAGCGCGGAAACGAATATTTTTCTATATGGATACTGCATAACTAATCAAGGGCCATAACTCTGAGTTAAAGTGTCTGACCGGAACAAGGCAACGATATGCGCATCTCCTCTTGGTATTGAAGATTCCCATAAAGTTTCGTTGAATTCCAGCCAGTAGTTGCAGAGAAGTAGCGCGGAAACAATTTTTACTCCATATGCATACTGCATAACTAATCAAGGGCCATAACTCTGAGTTAAAGTGTCTGACCGGAACAAGCCGACGATATGCGCATCTCCTCTTGGTATTGAAGGTTCCCATAAAGTTTTGTTGAATTCCAGCCAGTAGTTGCAGAGAAGTAGCGCGGAAACGATTTTTACTCCATATGCATACTGCATAACTAATCAAGGGCCATAACTCTGAGTTAAAGTGTCTGACCGGAACAAGCCGACGATATGCGCATCTCCTCTTGGTATTGATGATTCCCATAAAGTTTCGTTGAATTCCAGCCAGTAGTTGCAGAGAACTACTCCGGAAACGATTTTTACTCTATATGCATACTACATAACTAATCAAGGGCCATAACTCTGAGTTAAAGGGTCGGACCGGAACAAGCCGACGATATGCGCATCTCCTCTTGATATTGATGATTCCCATAAAGTTTCGTTGAATTCCAGCCAGTAGTTGCAGAGAACTACTCCGGAAACGAAATTCGGACGGACGGATGGACGGACGGACAACGCCAAAACTATATCCCCCTCCCGATTCCATCGGCGGGGGATAATAACAAAGTTATAGGTCGATTTTAGAGTTAAAGTGTCTGACCGGAACAAGCCGAAGATATGCGCATCTCCTCTTGGTATTGAAGGTTCCCATAAAGTTTAGTTGAATTCCAGCCAGTAGTTGCAGAGAAGTAGTGCGGAAATGATTTTTACTCTATGTGCATACTGTATAACTAATCAAGGGCCATAACTCTGATTTAAAGGGTCTGACCGGAACAAGCTGAAGATATGCGCATCTCCTCTTGATATTGATGATTCCCATAGTTTTGTTGAATTCCAGCCAGTAGTTGCAGAGAACTACTCCGGAAACGAAATTCGGACGGACAACGCCAAAACTATATCCCCCTCCCGATTCCATCGGCGGGGGATAACAAACTTGCAATGTATTGACCAAATACCTAAGCTTTACCCCTTGCTGTTTGAGGGATAAAAGGATTTTGGAAGGTATTCCCATATAAGACAAATAATGTGGTCTCTTTCTTTTCTATAATGATTATGAATCATATAAACAATTGGATCTTTGCCCAGAGAGAGAAACACAAAGAAAATTGGAAAAAACATGAATCAGAAAAGCTCATCATGACCACAAAGTGCAGGTCTGCAAAAGTACGTATAACTAACTCATTAACAATAGTAAATGTATATAAATCTTAATGATGATATATTAACCTGTTCCTTGCTCCTGACACATATACAAAGTAAGTCTTGGTCTGACAGTCCTGTAAAACAAACAGTAAAATCAAATCAACTCAATTTCATTTGGGGTACAGAAAAAATTACAGGTCAAGAATATTTTTGAAGCATGTTTAGAAATTTTCAAATTCAAAGTTTCAGTGATGTAATGAACAAGTGTTTTCTCTTTATAAAGGTCACTTATGGGACTTGAACCCTAAAGTGGTGAGGACGGGCAAGTGATTCAATATCTGTAAGCCTTGGAGGCCCATTTACAATGATTCATGGATTGTAAATATTGTAGTAAAATTACTCTAATAAGTTTTAATGTAAACCATTATAATAAAAGAGTTCATACCTAGACTGAAGAGCATTATTTAATCTAATACCATCTGCGAGTCCACAAATCTGTATTAAATCATCACGTGTAAGTCGTAATAAATCTGCCCCTACAATTGAATGAATATCAGTGTACTTTTACAACTGTTTCTAGCATGACCATTACTACTGTATAGTTGTAAATTGTTTTGAAGTACAGTCAAACGTGTATTAAGTGACCGCGCAAGGGAAAAACCCAAAACCCAAAACAGTTTTGATCCATTACGTACATGTTTGACATTTTTTCCAGAATTTTTCAACTTCTCCGTTGTTTTTCCTTGTCTCCAACACGAAAACCCTATTAGTGAAGATGTTTTCTGTTGTGTATTTTTTCATTTCAAATAAACAAACTACATCTAATTGTTACGATTAATTTAATTGCTGATCAAGTTCAAGGTCAATTCAATGCAGTCTAAATGTCAACAAGCGAAGCGTATACACCATCTCAGTAGGGGCGGAGCGTTGCATTGTTTATCCGATATTATTGGATAATACACGTCACGCGTATACTTAAGTTCATTTGCATACGCTAAAACGGTTTGAAAAATAGAGTTTTTCACACGTTTATTTGTTGTGTTTTGATTGTTGACACTTGTGCCATTACGAGGCGCCGTTCTCTAAAAACACAATTACTTGACAGGTAAAACTGGTCGTTTAATGAAAAGACTGATCTCAATTAGGTGACTAATTAGCGGTCGCTGGTCGCGTTGAGCAAAAGTCGCTTAATACATTAAAGATATGAAAGAAAATGATCGGGGGGAATTTAAAGTGGTCGTTTAAGACAAAAGTCGCTTAATATACGTGGTCGCATGGGCAAGTTAGACTGTAATTATATTTGCTATATTCATGCCTTTTAAGAATCTTCTAAAAGATAATTCCCACAGTCCCCAGCAGATTTGTGTTTTTGTACACATCTGCCACTTAACTGTTTACTGATCTTTTTTCATCAAGTCCAACAAAAGCAAATGACTTCTTGATAGTATCTGTTTGTTTTCAGTTTTATGCAACATATTTAACAACCATCGTATATGGAATTTTTAACAGAACTGTTTCCAAAAAAATTTTTCAAATAGCAAGCTAATGCATTCACAGATTTCAAAGAAGTTTTACTTAAGATGGTGGAAACTTACCTGAGAAATTTTGAAAAACATTGACATATTGCGAGAACCTGTTGAATTGAAGCCATGACTGTACTTCTTTTGCATTAGCCTCAGCTGTAAGGTTCTGTGGCTGAAATTGGTATGTATATTATGAATCAGTACTGCTTGCAGGTCTACTCAAATGTCTATAATTAACAATAAAATAAATGTTAGCATCACTGTAAAAACATCGTCACACCTGCTAAACACCTTTATTTACCAAAGTCTACAGTGTGGTTTAGGAGAAGATGTTCAAAGGAACTCTGGGTAACAACTGACAATGTACTATGGACAACATGAGATCACAAAAGCTCCTTTGGTAAAAGCATGAAAGAAAATATTAGAATTCAATTATTAATTTGAGTTTTACCAATCAAAATCATGTATGCACCAACAATAAGATTATAATAAATTTGTGTAAGAAATTATTCTTTATTAATCAGAACGCAACTTACAGTGTCTATAGGTGAAGGACTTTCCATCATAACATATGGAGACATTGGTTCAACAAGAGGTGTAGATGTCACTGGGGGACCACTGAAATATTTTTGGTTATAATTATACAATTTATAAATCATATACATGACAACTTATATAGTGGTACTCCTATATGCCAGAAGCTTCTAGACCATGATGTTAATGAAATGTGATATTCTTCTATGCGCAAGTGCCCCATCCATAAATGGCCATTCAAATACGTAAGTCTTATCCCATAAAACCCCTTAAAGTGGACCCTAACCATATTTGGATCATAAGTTGCACTATAATGATAGATAAGGGTGACATAATCTTATAATTGTTTCATATATACCTTGGTGATTAATGGTATTATTGTGCCACTGTAGCAGACGACAAGCAAGTTTTATGACAGTAATAATTTAAGTATGACTAACAAACGTATATTTCCCCTAGACTGGTGCTATTGGTAAATCTAGACCACCAAATTAATCAGACAAATCTTTGAAAGAACAAAGGTGCCAATATTTTAACTTACATATTTGGTTTCTTGCTACTTGCAGTGTTGTTTGGACTTGCTTCATTGAACTTTGGAGGAGACCTGAAATAACAACAATTTTCTTTTCTGCAAATGTTTATAAACTCAAATTACAACCGTGAGCAATATCTGACAATCATAACAGGAAAAACACATATTCCTGTTACCATTTTACACCCATTGTCTTAAGTTCCAAGTAAATGTATTCATAGCTGTGAAAATTGATCTTGTACACAGAACTTTATCCAGGAATTTCAAACCTTACAAAGTGCTGTAAATTAGTCAAAATACATGCAAGAGTTAAGGCCTCCAATTAATATCTAAAAGGCATGTATGCAGTGTCAAACAAACACCTCCATTAATTAGATATGAACTTGCACACTAAACTTTAAGTTATACCAACACATAGGTGAGTAGGATAGCCTCACTTATTTCTGAATAGTAAAACTTAAAATCAAACTTTAAATCAAGTAATATTGCAACTTATTGCAGACTAACTTGGCTCTAAAATAGTAAAATACTTGTGATTTATCTGCCCTAGAGTATATTGAAATAATTTTACAAAATGGATTTGTTAACATACCCATTAGAAGTATTGTGGAACCTCCATTGGTCCATTCCTTGCTGTTTCTTGTATATTTGTGTAGGAGTAGTACTAACAGGGGTATTATGAAATAATAATGTGCATTTTTGTAACAAATTCTTATTATAACAATTCTACATAAAAAGGAAACTAGATTTTGAGCTTAAAGGCATAAAACAATATTGTACAGGTAGTAGTGTCATCAAATCAAGTTTTTATACATTTCAAGGTTCAAATAAATACCTGTACTAGTTTCAAAGATGGTGAAGAAAAACAATCAAAATAAGAAAGAACAATGTTTATATATAAATAAAGAGTTCTAAATACCATTTATATCATTATTCCCTCATTAATTACCTTAGTATACAAAACAGTTAAATAGTCATAGTATGATGATTTACACCGACCCAAATTCCAGTAGCATACAGGTTGTTGTAAGTTTTGATACTGATGACCTGTAGAAATTAATATCCCATTAGTTATCTTATTTAATATATCATGTTACTATACAACTGTAAAATATTTCCTGGTTTGAGAAATATCAATGAAAGTAATAATGCAATATAAAGCAAATTCTCTAGGTTTCATGTGGCACCAAAGTTTTAAGAAGTTTACTTTTATAAAGTAAGATATTATACCTTTGTTCCTTGAATGCCTGAGCAAGACTACCAAATGATCCTGTACTATTTAAACCATTTCTACTGGTTTGTATGACCTGCTCTATGGGAATCTAAATAAAACAGAAAATGGGATTATAAATCAAGACTGCATTTTTGATCCTTTTAACACCAAATGGATGAATATTGCATGATTTTTCAAATCATGTCCAAGAAACTCAGTTTTGCTTTATGTAGATATTAAAAAATAACTGTTTTCTAGCCTCGGAAACCTTGACAACAGTGATATTAAAAGCCACATAAGTGCCTATTGTTTGTTTAGTAAAAATGTTTATTGTTTTAAGTATAACAGGGGAAATAACTGGGGGGGGGGGGGGCTGAATGGATGCCACAGTTATATTACTTGCCAAGATATGGTTATTGTGTGAATTATGAGGCCTATGGAAGCCAGAATATATTAACCTTATACAAACAAAAAGAAAGTTCCTTGTACCCAACAAATATCCTATTGTGTCCAGAATATATTAACCTTATACAAACAAAAAGAAAATTCCTTGTACCCAACAAATATCCTATTGTGTCCAGAATATATTAACCTTATACAAACAAAAAGAAAGTTCCTTGTACCCAACAAATATCCTATTGTGTCCAGAATATATTAACCTTATACAAACAAAAAGAAAGTTCCTTGTACCCAACAAATATCCTATTGTGTCCAGAATATATTAACCTTATAACAAACAAAAAGAAAGTTCCTTGTACCCAACAAATATCCTATTGTGTCCAGAATATATTAACCTTATACAAACAAAAAGAAAGTTCCTTGTACCCAACAAATATCCTATTGTGTCCAGAATATATTAACCTTATACAAACAAAAAGAAAATTCCTTGTACCCAACAAATATCCTATTGTGTCCTATCAGTAAAATTATCCACCAATAAGTAAAGATTTAAAAGCACTTACATCAGTCAAAACAGTACACTCATACGAAGGTTGGTACTTCTCCTAAAAAGAAATATAAAATTTTCATTCTCTGAATAGAACATAAAAGTAAGTGTATTGAACCAAACTATAAAAGTAGTCATCACTCAACACTATCTAGAGATCAATTCTCCTGAGAGAATCAAAATAATATTTCAATCAGTTTAAACATGATCTATTTAAGCTTAATTATGAATATAGCATGTAGTAATTAATTTGAATGAGTTTCAATGCGTTTTCCCATTGCTAATCTATACAGTTCTACTATTGCAAGCTATTTCTTTATTCATACCTTAGGGTGTATGATTCAAATTAAACTTGTACAGACCTTTTCTGACCCTGTTCTTTTTTCCATTTTCTCTCTATCTGTCTTGTGTTTCCTGTCAGCACCTTTAGGCTAAAATAAATTTTAAAATTAAACCATTTTTTTATATAAATATCAGATATCAGATGTGACATCATGTTAATACTCATACTAGTCATATATGAAATCCATTGCTAGAAAGTCCAATAACTTCATTGCAAACATAGACAATATTTAATGTCATGATCAAATGCAATATAGTGGACATATGATTCAAATCTGAAGACTGAAACTAAAACTGAAGCAACTATCATTGTCATCGTGGAAGATGAATACCATGCTTGACTCTATATAACTTTAGCAGAAGTTCACTTGACAAAGCTAAAATGCCATTAATACAACTTCTGGCCATGAAATCTGACACATCAAATTATATAACACAATGTGTTTAAGGCCATTAATGTAACTTTTGCAGAGGTACACTAGGCAATACACCATGCCAATTATCTCAGCTCTTGACATTGTAGTTTCACACGAGAATATTTAAATGTATTTCCCAATATATGCCTCAACTCTGATCAATGAAATGTTAACTTAGTGACCCCCAGAGCACCAATTTTGTCTCTGGGACCTGATTTATGTAATTTTTGTAGAGGAGAACAACATAGGACCAGTAGTTTTAGAGTATATTTAAATGTATTTCCCTATACTAGTCTATATAAAGTAAGTACGAAATTGGTTTGGGCCTATTTTGACCCAGGTGCCATAATCTTTATATATTTTTTAGGAGACCGAAAGGTGTTGCTTTAAATCAAATATCTAACCTATGGGCATTGTAGTTTCAGTGAATATTTCATTCTGTTAAATCTCTTTAAGATCCTGTGACCACCATAGTACATGAATGCCTCCAACATTCCACTGTTTAGTCAGTCTACAGATGGACAGTGTGACAGCCTGATAAGGTCAAACCTATCTGAGTGGCCTATCCACCCCGTTCCATGTGGGAGCATAAAATTGTCTAACTTACCTTAAACACTTTAATCTGACATGAAGCACAATGTACTAATTTTGATGACTCATTATCAGAGTCTTTGCTTTCAATTTGCAGCCGAAATGGCACACCCTTCTCTCCGCCATGTTTTTTGGCCGTAAATTCCGTGCTAATACAGTTAACTTTAACATATATTCCAGTCTCTTTTGTAGGATCCCAGATAAAGTCTATAGAATTCAGTCTATTTGAGTCGACTACAACGTCAACAAGGCCATATGATAGTGGAATATCTGTGTAAAGAAAAAACATTACATATACATTGTCTTACATCTTCAATAGTGAAATTTTTAAAATACTGCTTATTTTTTAATGTAAATGACACATTATTATAACCATTATATGCCTTGTTACAACTTCTTGCTCTAGGTATTAATATATTTTTTTTTGGTTGGGTTTTTAGTTGCACCAACACAGTGAAGGTCATATGACGACTTTTCAGCTTTCCTGGTGGAAGAAGACCTCAGGTGCCCCTGTATGCATTATTTCAGGCAGAATCAGACACCAGAGTAGAATCATTGATGTTCCTTTAATAAAATAATGTAGCATAATTGTGTAATAAGAATAAGATCAGACTTTGATACATATCCTTCCTGAATCAAATAACATGTTATATGACTATTGAATCAAATAACATGTTATATGACTATTGAATCAAATAACATGTTACATGACTATTGAATCAAATAACATGTTATATGACTATTGAATCAAATAACATGTTATATGACTATTGAATCAAATAACATGTTACATGACTATTGAATCAAATAACATGTTATATGACTATTGAATCAAATAACATGTTACATGACTATTGAATCAAATAACATGTTATATGACTATTGAATCAAATAACATGTTACATGACTATTGAATCAAATAACATGTTATATGACTATTGAATCAAATAACATGTTACATGACTATTGAATCAAATAACATGTTATATGACTATTGAATCAAATAACATGTTATATGACTATTGAATCAAATAACATGTTATATGACTATTGAATCAAAAAACATGTTATATAACTATTGAATCAAATAACATGTTATATGACTATTATATGACCTTAAGTATACCTATATCTAAAATTCTCTCCCCAGGGCGTGTTGTCATCCAAGAATCTAACTGTTCTTTCTCCATATACTGTAATCTCCTTTCATGAAAACAAACTCTAACAGTGCTCTAAAAAAACACAATAAAATAAGTTCATTCATGTTGAAACTACAACAACAAGATTTCATTTGTATATAATTTTTTTTAGGAAATTTAGAGGAAAGCAAGTGCTTATGACAGACTTTAGTGAATGACACTTTCTGTCAATATGGCATACTTACATACCTTATAAAATACATTTTATAGAGGTAAAGTGTTATATAAACAGTAATATATATAAATAAAATAATAATACCTTATTATGATACAATGTATAAGTTCATAAGTTTAACAAGAGCCATGTCAACATGGCCATCCCCCGCCATATGTGTTTGCTCATTGGAAGAATGTATATGTAGTAGAGCAGAATAATTCCATTTTAAGAGGTCTTTTGGTAATGAAAACTGATAGCTATAGTGATTACAGATTTGAAACCTATGTGAATACTGATGGCTGAAAATAACAAAAAAATAATGCAGGGTAGGTTATCATTCTTGTGTGCTGCATCCCTCCTCAGTAAAATCTATCCACCTATGAAGTTTCAAGTTGATACCTCAAATACTTTTTGAGAAAAAAATTGAATTGAAAAATTAAGTATGAAAAATAACAAAGGGCAATAACTCAAAAATTATAAAAGGTAGAGTTATCATTCTTGTGCACTGCACACTTCCTGAGTTAGATCTATGCACCTATGAAGTTTCATTATGATATCTCAAAGGCCTTTTGAGTTATGCTCTGGACAAAAAATTATTTTGAAAAATAAAAAAAGGGCAATAACTAAACAATTATGCAGGGTAGAGTTATCATTCTTGTGCACTGCACTCTTCCTCAATGAGATCCATCCACCTATGAAGTTTCAAGTTGATACCTCAAATACTTTTTGAGATAAGCTCCGGACAAAATAGTATGAAAAAGAACAAAGGGCAATAACTCAAAAATTGTACAGGGAACAGTTATCATTCTTGTGCACAGCATTCCTCCTCAATAAAATCTATCCACCTATGACATTTCATGTTGATATCTCAAACTCTTTTTTAGTTATGCTCCACTCAGGTGAAAAATTAAGTATGAAAAATAACAAAGGGCAATAACTCAAAATTTATGAATGGTAGAGTTATCATTCTTGTGCACTGCACACCTCCTGAGTGAGATCTATGCACCTATGAAGTTTCATGTTGATATCTCAAAGGCCTTTTGAGTTATGCTCTGGACAAAAATCAATTTTGAAAAATAACAAAGGGCAATAACTCAAAAATTATGCAAAGTAGAGTTATCATTCTTGTGCACTGCACTCCTACTCAATGAGGTCTATCTACCTATGAAGTTTCAAGTTGATAACTCAAATACTTTTAGAGATATGCTAGTCACTAATAACTAGTAACAGAATACCTTGCAAAAGAATTGAAATAGAGTTATGGTTGTGGGAAATTAAAGATAGTTGTGGTTCTTGTATGTTGCATTTCCTTTTAATGTGGTTGACTTTTGATGAAGTTTTATTGAATTACCCTGTAATAAGTCCATAAAGAGTTATGCTTCTTGAGCACTGCACTTCCCCTCATTGCACCTAACCATTGTATGAAGTTGCTTTAAACATTAGTTTTAAAGTTATGCACCGGACAAGGAAAAAGAAAAAAGGGCAATAACTCTACAAATACTGAAGATGGTGTTATGGTTATTGTACACTGCACTTCCCCTCATTGCCCTCTACCATTGTATGAAGTTGTACTGAATTCCAACTACTAGTTTTCAAGTTATGCACTGGACAAAAAAAGTAACAAAGGGCAATAACTGTAATTTGTCCAAATAGAGTTATGGTTTTTGTGCACTGCACTTCATCTCACTGCCCTTGACCATTGTATGAAGTTTCATTGAATTCCAACCATTAATTTTCAAGTTATGCACTGGACAATAAAAAGTTATAAAGGGCAAAAACTCTTAAATGAGTCAAGAAAGACTTATGGTTTCTGTGCATTGCACTTCCTCTCAATGTGCTTGATCATTGTATGAAGTTGTATTGAATTCCAACCATTAGTCTTCAAGTTATGCTCTGGACAAGAAAATCAATGGAAAAGTAACAAAGGGCAATAACTCTGTAATTACCTCAGATAGAGTTATGGTTCTTGTGCATTGCACTTCCTCTTATTGTGCTTGACCATTGTATGAAGTTGTTTTAAATTCCAACCAGTAGTTTTCAAGTTATGCTCCAGACAAGGAAAAGTAACAAAGGGCAATAACTCTGTAATTAGTCTAGATAGAGTTATGGTTCTTGTGCACTGCACTTCCTCTCAATGTGCTTGATCATTGTATGAAGTAATATTGAATTCCAACCATTAGTCTTCAAGTTATGGTCCGGACAAAAGAAAGCAATGGAAAAGTTACAAAGGGCAATAACTCTGTAATTACTTTAGATAGAGCTATGGCTCTTGTGCACTGCACTTCCACTTATTGTGCTTGACCATTGTATGAAGTTGTTTTGATTTCCAACCAGTAGTTTTCAAGTTATGCTCCGGACAAGGAAAAATAACAAATGGCAATAACTATGTAATTAGTCAAGATAGAGTTATGGTTCTTGTGCGCACTTCCTCTCAATGTGCTTGATCATTGTATGAAGTTGTATTGAATTCCAATCATTAGTCTTCAAGTTATGCTCCAGACAAGGAAAATGCAACGGACCGCTGGACCGACCACCGAGTGACACCTAAATACCCCCCCCCCCCAACTTTGTTTCGGGGGTATTATAAGTATTTCATGTGACCTTGACATAATGACCATATGGGCATGGCAATGTTCCTCCTCAAGTGACTGATTGGACAAGGACTTCATAAGAGGTGGATCAATATGTAATATAATATGGTCAATATATAATGCAATAAATTTAACAAAAGAACAAATACTTTACAAAAGTCTATTTTTAACCCTTTCAAATAATCTCCTCCTACTGAAAAACAAAGTTTCAGATGTTAAATCAAATGTTAAAATGCTTCAACATAGTCCTTAGGTATGCCTTTCAATTACAGAAAAATGGCTGACTCTAGTCCATTTCTACTCTTGTAGTGTTGACCTACAAGATGTTTCTTCAGTCTAGGAAAGAGGAAAAAGTCACAAAGTGCCCAGTCTGGAGAACAACATGGTGAATGTTTAAGGACAGTCACCCTTTTTTCTCAAAAAAACAAACAAAACAAAAACAAAAACAAAACAAAAAAACACACAAAAAAAACAACAAAAAACCAATTACAATGGCACCTTTGTTTGCAGGTGAGTTGTTTACACAAACACACAAATCAGGGGCTGAATTAGAAATTATACTTCATATTGCATTACATTATACTTTGTTACAATGATAGATAAATAAGCTCACCCTCAGAAATTGTCCCTCATAATCGGAGAGATCTCCCAGTTTCTTCAACTTTATCTCATAAGACTGACCTGTTTAAATAGACATGACGAATTAATTCCACGTTACAATTAAACACTAAAATGACCCTGATGTACTGGACCTAAATGGAGATAACAGCTTCTTTTCATCTCATGCTCAGATAACTTTGTGAGAGAACTAAATTTCTCTATGATTTTATCTTTTCTATTATCTAACTAGGGAGCTGATGTTCGATCACGAGTATGAAAGATTACATTTATCACTGCCATTCACAAGCAGGCTCATTCACACCCAGCCTGCAGCCATATTTATGTTAACATTTCCTTAGCCCTAACCTGGAGACTTAGTTTTAACCCAAGATGATTAATATTAAAATATACAAAGACAATATTATCAACCTGTACATTTAAAATCAACCTTAAATATTTTGCAATTATAATTTAAATCCTCTTACCCTGGTTAAGATATGTGAGTGTTTCTTCATTTACTTTTACTGCAGGTGATGTTGCAGCCCCCAATATGTACTGGAACCTAAATAATAGATAACAAGCATATTCACTCAATGGAAACTTCTTAGTTCGTCAGAATATGTGTGAAAATTGTGTGAATTTGTTAAAAGACAACAAAATTGAGTAGTCAAACAAAACAGCTCTTATACTAAACGCCATTCTTAGGAGATAATAATAACAACATTTTTTTTTCTCAAAGTGTCCTTCCTACAATCACACTAGGCCATTGTTTAATAACACACCTGTGCATTACAATGGTAAGAAGTAGTTACGTACAAGGAATAGGTCTGCATAGTATTTACAGACCCTGGTGGTGATTTGAAAACCGAGATAGCACTTGTGAATTCCAGCTCTAATATTTTCACTTGGCAAGTTGTGGCTGTGCCACTTGTAAAAATATAAAATTTGGTATTCACTCTGTTAAATATATTTCAATCTTACATACAAACTAAACAAATATCCACTATATGTAAGTTTTATTATAAATAGACAATCCAATTCTATGATATGGATCAAATGGAAAATGAAATTTCAATATTCCGCCTTTTACCTTTATTGATAGGGAATAAAACTTCTTTTTAAAAGCAATTAAGAAGCTTCAGAAGAAGAGATGTATTACTGATAGTAGACAGTAAAGTAAGTTCTCTTGTTTAACTAACAAGACAATTGTGAAGTAGCAAAATTTATATACATTATAGAAAGTTTTTATTTTATTTATTTCTTTCATGTGGTCATACTTATCTTCAGATAATTATAGTTATTCTTCCTTAATTAATAAAACAATAATCATTCTAAATTCAAATATACAAACCCATTGTCTAAATTCTCCTGTTTAAAAACTGGCAGAGCTAAAAGAGCCTCACTGAAATATAAAATAAACAACAAATTTTTAATTCATTGAATATCACTCACAAACTGAAATATACGTAATTTACAAATACTGAATATTGTTAATTTCATCGATATGATTGTCACTGTTAAAGAAAATATTTTCCTTTACTTTATGGGGTAACAGTATTTGAAATACTGAAAGAGAATTGAAACATATTTCAATGAAATACTGAAGAGAATTGAACATATTCTTGTTTGTGGCCAACATGTTAAAAATGAAAGATGACAGTAGATGCTTACACATATATACTCAAGACATATATGACACATTAACTTGTGAAAATTCACTGAACCAGAAAATGCAACTAATATACATATTCCCTTTTAGAAAAAATTTCCCGGGATAAAGGAAATTAAAATAAATTTCCAATTAAATGTGCTTTTTTTTAAATTACAAAAAATTGTATCCCAAGGGAAAAAATCCCCCCACTTTCCCCACTTTTTGTGCTCTGCCCAAAACCAGTATGACAAACCCGGTTAAAAGGGCAAAAATCTAACCCCCCTTTCCCCAAAGTTTCTAAGGGTTGGGGGCATTAAAAAAAGGCCCACACCCCCCCTCATTTAAGGCTCTATTATTCTTTTTCATTCCCTTCCCCTTAAATTTAATTTTTAAACCTTTTAAAGGGAATTTTGGGTTAAACCTATGGGTTTACTTCCCTTGGGTTTGAAAACATTGACGCCAAATTTTTGGGAAATTTAGAAAAAAAAATTTTTTAGAGTATTTTTTACCCCAAAAAAAGGTTTTCCCAAATTGCCCAAACATTTTTGCTTTATTTTAAACGCCTTAGTGAAAAGTTCCAAACATTTATAAAAAATCTTGCAACGAAATAAGCTGGCACAAAATTACTGACATCAAAAAGAGTGAAAACATTAAATTTGAAATTCTTACACTTGTACTTCTGAGTACATTTATATCCAAAATATCCATTTTTATAATGGACATTCGGGATATTAAAGAAATGTACCATACTCAGAATTAAATAGAATATCAATTTTTTGTGTGATTCTTAGCCAGATTTGAGTGATCTGTGGGTCATTTTGCACAGTATAATGATTATTATGGCAAAATGGAGCAAGGAAATGATCTCAAATTTTTGCACACAGGTATTTTGGTCAAATGGTACACAAATGTCAAATCTCAAAAAAAGATTTCCATATCTATCATGTCATTAAACCTCAGTAGAGTCCCTTTAAGAGCACAAGCTAACATTTCTTCTAAAAATATTGGAAACAAATACAGCCTTATTACCTCATGTTATAAGTGGTTGATCCTAGCTCAGTTCCAAGCCCTGACAGGGAACCATCAAAGTCAGCAGCAAGGCCTCCATCAATGTCCCAATTAGACACTGCCTGTCCAGCAGTTGTTGGCAAATTTTGTAGTATATCATTGTAATGGGATGTTTTGGTCCGTTTTCCCCCACTCTGGTTCCCAGCATGTCCAGTGTGCAGGTTCCCATCATCAGATACAGCTGACCAAGTAAAGGACATCTGTTTCATCCAAACTTCAGCCACCTAACACTTAATGGATTTACTTTATGTAATACTGTACTCCTTTCATCTGTAATTAAAATAAGGTGAAAATTTCTAGATTTAACCAATATAGTTCATATTTCAAAATTAGCATTGGATTCACAAGATGATCATTAAATAACTGCTAAATAACTTGTGTGAGGTCTGAAATGCAAAAAGTCAAAGCAAACAAAAAATTTAAAATACTGAAAACCCGAGAACCGGGTGAACCGGGTGATACTCCCCGACTAGGTTTTGGACACAGAAAAGTATATCTTTTGTAGTTTCAGAGTTATGTCCCAGACAAAGTTTGATAATTCCAAACTTAGGCAAGTCAGAGTTACTGTTCTTTGCACTGCACTTCTACTCAATGAGATCTATCTACCGACTTGCGCGCAACATGTCATCTCAATATGTTGATCATTTCTGTGAAATAGTTGTAAAATCAGACTTCAAATAACAAAGTTATAGGTCGGACACGATTTTACTACAAGGTCATGCTGTGACATTGACAAAGGTAGCGACCCAATTGTTGCATGTGACACGTCGTCTCAATATGGTGATCATGTCTGTGAAATAGTTGTAAAATCCGACTTCAAATAACAAAGTTATGGGCCGGACACGATTTTTCTTCGAGGTCATGCTGTGACCTTGACCTTCAAGATAGCTATCCAAATGTTGCGCGCGACACATCGTCTCAATATGGTGACCATTTCTGTGAAAAAGTTTTAAAATCCGACTTTAAATATCGAAGTTATGTGCCAGACAAAATTTTTCTGCAAGGTCATGCTGTGACCTTGACATTCAAAGTAGCGACCAAAATGTTGCAGGCTCCATGTCGTCTCAATATGGTGATCATGTCTGTGAAATATTTGTAAAATCCGATTTCAAATAAAGAAGTTATGGGCCAGTTAAGATTTTGCTACAAGGTCATGCTGTGACCTTGACCTTCAAGGCAGCGACCCAAATGTTGTGCGCGACACGTCGTCTCAATATGGTGTTGTCTCAATATGGTGATCATTTCTGTGAAATAGTTGTTAAATCCGACTTCAAATAACAAAATTATGGGCCGGACAAGAATTCGGGACATATGTACGTACAGACGGACGTTCCTTCGAATGGACATTTATTGGGTACTTCTTTTGTTTAAAAGTACCCAATTAAGAAACAAAAGTACCCAACAATACTGACGGAATGAATAGAATTACCCAAGTGTCCTCCTGTGCGCCGGAGGTACCCAACAAGTGTCCTCTTGTGCGCCTGGACAGACAGACGGACAACCCGGCAACTATATGCTCCCCAGAAATTTTTCAGGGAGCATAATTATGGGGATACTTTTCACCAAAATTATAATTGAAGCAAATAGTCTATTAAAATAAAACCAGCTCTTGACACTTGTAAAGCTGCATGCCTCCACAGGCTCAAAAAAGTTTTATCTAAAGATCAAACTTTAGAAAAATGAAGAGCTGCCTATCATAAGCCAATCAAGATGCTTGAATGATTTTATTAAGGGATCAAGGAGTTGTTTGTGATTTGCACAATTCATAAACATTGCAAAGTATAATATTATGCCAGCTTTAATTCACCGTTCAATTGTTAATATTATACAAGGTCTTTAGTATTCTGGAAACCAGATGGAAATTGAGAAAAATGCTTTTTAATTTTCAACTAGTTTTTTAGATTGTTTTTGTTGGAGGGTCATATTTCATGTATATTACCAGGTATGATCAAAAGTTCTCGGCCGATATACTTCTAACCAAGACACTGACATTTACATACAATACATTGATACCGATATCTTATTTAAGATTACTGATCGAGTTACATGCGGTTTTACACAGATTAAGTAACACAAAACACACTTTGATCTGTAGAGGGGTGTGTCATTTAGACCAAATGGAGAAAGTTGAAATCAGAGCTTTCATTAAGTACCTCTGTAAGAAAGGGAGTAACTCTGTAAGTAAGGGATGTCCCCAAAGGAAATCCATGAAGACTTCATGGATACACTTGGTAAAGAGGACCCTTCGTATAGCACTGTGAAAAAATGGGCTGCTGAATTTAAGAGGGGCAGGGAGAGCAGAGATGATGAGAGGCCTGGGCGGCCAAAAAAGGCCACCAACGATGGAACTGCCGAAGCTGTGCATGATCTGGTCATGTGCGGCAGAAGGTGAGACCTGCAAAGCATTGCTAGGGAAGTGGGTATAAGCTTTGGATCAGTTTAGGCAATTCTGACTGATGTCTATGGCATGTCGATGGGTCCCCAGACAGTTGACCGACGACCAGAAACCGACCAGGCTTGACATTTCAAGATAACTTTTGTCTAGCTACGAGGATGAACCTTATTATATCTACCCGATCGTAACTCAGGATGAAACATGGGTCCATCACTCCGATACAGAATAAACAAGCAAATTCGTTGAATTTATATCCCCCGCCGAGTACTGGTTATTATTAACACAACAACTGAAGACATAAGGCTATGCAACAGACCGGAACCATTTGATCAACTTTGGCAGGGGACCACCCTAGGATCATTCCTGTAAAGTTTGGTTGCTGTGCAGTCATTTGTTTCTGAGGAGATGTTGTTTAAAGAAATTGCTGACAACGCATGACGACGGACGGTGGGGGATCACAATAGCTCACCTAGATGTAAAAACATCTTAATCTCCAGACTTCATTATTCGTAATTTAGTGATGTTGATCATTATTCCTGTAAAGATGGTCGATTCTAACTCAAGCACTCAAGGATCAAATAACAACATAATGAAACAGTTTTTACTAAGTCAAGGGAAATAACTCTACAAATACTGGATAAATCCACAAGCGAAACCCCAGGAACAAACTAAATATGCTGAGCAACTTTCCAATAAGGTTAAATGACTCTATGTCAAATCCTTTTTGAGTTACATGCGACACATGTTGAAAATTGCAAACATTTTCTAAGTCAAGGGCAATAACTCTAAAAATACTAAATAAATCCAGACGAAAATACCCAGGTGCACAACTACACAATCATGCTGATCAACATTCCTGTAAAGTATCATGACTTTAGGTCAAATACTTTTTGAGTTACATGTGACACAAGTTGAAAATTGCAAAATTTTACTAAGTCAAGGGCAATAACTCTAAAAAAAGTAAAAATAATCCGGACGAAAATACCCAGGTGCACAACTACACATACTGATCAACATTCCTGTAAAGTTTCATGACTCTAGGTCAAACACTTTTTGAGTTACATGCGACACAAGTTGAAAATTACAAAAATTTTACTAAGTCAAGGGCAATAACTCTAAAAATGCTAAAAATATCCAGACGAAAATACCCAGGTACACAACTACACATACTGATCAACATTCCTGTAAAGTTTCATGACTCTAGGTCAAATACTTTTTGAGTTACATGCGACACAAGTTGAAAATTACAAAATTTTACTAAGTCAAGGGCAATAAAAATACTAAAAATATCCAGAAGAAAATACCCAGGTGCACAACTTCACATGCTGATGAACATTCCCATAAAGTTTCGTTGAATTCCAGCCATTAGTTGCAGAGAACTACTCCGGAAACGAAATTCGGACGTTTTACTAAGTCAAGGGCAATAACTCTAAAAATACTAAAAATATCCAGACGAAAATACCCAGGTGCACAACTTCACATGCTGATCAACATTCCCATAAAGTTTCGTTGAATTCCAGCCATTAGTTGCAGAGAACTACTCCAGAAACGAAATTCGGACGGACGGATGGATGGACGGACAGACGGACGGACGGAAGGACGGACAACGCCAAAACTATATCCCCCTCCCGATTCCATCGGCGGGGGATAAAAAACAGAGCATGCAGTGGAGGTACCCTGACTCACCCCTCCTGAAGAAATTCAAGAGGTTGCCATCAGCAGGGAAGATGATGGCTTCAATTTTTTGGGTTAGTGAGTGGATAATCATGATTGACTATCTTGAGCAAGGTCGTACCATAAACGTACTATGCAGACGAATTGAGACGTCCGTGTCAAGAAATCACACGTGAAAGGAGGGGCAAACTGACTCAAAGCATTCTGCTTCTCCACGACAATGAGCCAGCTCACACATCCAAAGTTGCGATGGCTGCTGCAACTGACTGCAACTTCGAAATTCTTCCCCATCCCCAATATTCGCCAGGGCCGGCAAAATCAATTGTCCGAGTTGCCCGAGTCGTACAATTGTAGGTCCGGGCAAGTAAAATTCTGCAGTTTACTTGTCCGTGGACAAGTAAATTTCAGCGGCTAAAAGAGGAATTCTGAAGAAAAAATCTAGTTCTTTTCTAATAGATCTAAATCAGAAGGAAAATCACACATTTAATACAAAAACTAGCATGTAAAGTATGATGTCATAAAGATTGATCATTCATGAGGGCATTCTGTGCATTAGGGTGTTACTATTTAAAGTGTTTACATAAATAGCGACCAACCAGGCTTGGGGTTTTCCTTACGTCATGCAGTTACTGCATGCGCGCGACAATTAACTAATTATAGAACATATTAAGGTCACTATGTGGGGTGCATGTTTGTTTTGGTTAATGACTGTCGACTTGGCCACTGCAATAAAATATTTTCGGTAGCAACGGGGATTCTGCCATAAAATTGACTTGGAAGTTGTGGTCTTTTGAAGTGCATTTATTGTTTAGATAGCAGATACAGCATGGTGACAAGTATTGCACAATCTTTAAGATCATATTGCAACAATTGTCTTTGAAATACCGCTGTGTTGTATAAAAATTAAATATAACTTTTACAGGTCATTCGGGAATATTTACGCAAAATTAGTTGAATCATATCAGCAATTTGACTGCTTGAATTTATGTCGACAAAGTCCTTTTATAATTTATTTCATGGAAAGATTTCTAGTGAAAATGCCTTTGTTTTGTCTTATAATTAGCTCTATGCTGTCTAATACTGGTGTTAAATTATACATGTCAGATTTCGTTGCCGATGATACTGATGTCAAAGTTTTCACAACTCATCTGCTGCAACCAAGCGTATATAATATATGTATATGATATTATGTTCCGTGATAATCCTATATCGTTAAAAAAAGCCAGATGTCATCAATTTGACAAATCTAACTCAAGAGTACATATGATTTTGTTTAACAGGATTCAAATGAATATTATATAGATGAATAGAATAAGGAGTGAATAAATAAGAAATGGTACTAGAGTGCAAAAAATGTAGACATATTTATAGACCAATTTGGGTGCAAGTGACACAAGGAAAAACTGAAAAAGTGCTGGCAAAAGACCAATGCTCCTTGCAGTAAAATATACCCAATTTGTCAATCACTGCCGTTCTACTTAAATCTACTGCCGTTAATATTTTATAAATATAAACTATATTATAATCATAATATATTATATTATTAAACATATGGCACAGAATGTTTAATAAATTGAAAACAAGTTCATGATCATATTGCTCTTCTTTATTGACATTTGCAGTAAATATTAAATATAAATACGGACAAGTAAACATTGAGTACGGACAAGTAAATTTTGTAAGTTACTTGTCCGTGGACAAGTACAATTTTCTGAGATTTTGCCGACCCTGTTCGCCGGACTTGACCCCCCTTTAACTTCTACCTGTCTCCGAAACTAAAAACCAAGCTTCGTGGTAGACGTTTTGGAAGCAATGAAGGTGTCATGGAGGCCGTCAATGAGTTCTTTGAGGACCAAAATAGAGAGTTCTATTTTGAAGGGTTAAACAAGTTGGAGCACAGGTGGGCAAAGTGCATTGATGTTGTGGGCGATTATATTGATAGTAAGACCATAAGTTGGGTTCTCTGACTACCGAAAGTACATCGGGCCAAGAACTGTTTGATCAATTCTCATATTAAGTATCAGATAAGCAACTACACCATCTGCAAAGGAAGGCTCAGTTTTCTTTGAGTCATGGAATTGAGACATAACGTTACCATGATAACAGAAAACAGAAAGTTTTTTCAGTCAAAGTATGTATGAAGTAACTGAAGTAACTTTTCTGTAATCATTAAATTTAAGTCCACTATGTTTCACCTTTTTTCCTGACTAGAAACGATGACATTTGCCATCAACTCTGACTCAATTCCAAGCACAATTTCCTATTGCTCTGTTCTTTTTACAATATTTAGCATAAAATATATATGCTGTTTATTTTTTTCGCTCGTTCTGACCTAGTTTTCACATTTTCTTTCTGGAAGGGAGATCACGCTTAGCACTTGAGAAACTGTGCATTAGCAGTGTTGTAGTATTTTATGTCTCTTGACAAAATATACCACAGTAAATATTACGGAAAACTGTTTGTGTTATTTCAGCGAATTTATCGGAATATAAATTGCCCAATATGAAAACAAATTCATTTTTGAATGACAGAATTTGAAATAAATCTGTTTTTGGTGAAAATCATTTCGTTTTAATGATAAAACGATGCTTATCTGGAGCTTTGCTCTTGTTTCCCTCCTTTACAGTAGGCTGAAATTTCAGTTTAATGACATACAAATTTACAGTTCAAGTTTGTTACAGTATTTCCTAATAATTTCAACATTTTGTTACAGCAATTTTACACTGACATATAAAATTTACGGATCCAACAGATATCCTGTGAGTTAATCAGCAGTGTAACATAAGTGTACAAATCTAAAATAAACAAAACTTACTGACCCAGAAAATAGACAGGCAATTTGCTGGAGAGTCGGGACAAGACCTACTAAGGAAGTTAATGCTCCGATAGAACTGGGTTAAATGGAAGGCCAGGAAACCAAAATTGTTTAAATTCAAAGTGCATTAAATTACTGTGCAAAGGACCAATTTAGCCCAATTCGCGAGTATGGCGCTCTCAGCTCTGGCTTGGCAATTTTTTGGCAATTTGTTGTTGATGTTTACGACAATCAAATAAAATACTTGAAAAAAAAGTTTCATTCTATTTGTTCATGCGTATAAAAATACTTATTCTGGAAATAAACTATTATTTATAAATGATTACATCTAGAATATAAAACAGATCACAAATAACGACATTGGATGGTATGACTAAAATAGACAACGGAGATCTTTTCAGCAACCTCCCTTGGAACATACGCAGTGATCTCCCTTTATCAGTGCAGTGCAGTTAAAATTCTGCCAAGGGAGGTAATCACTGTGATGAGTTTGTCTTTTTAGCACAATGCTACGGAAATGACTGGTATGACTAAAATGTGTGAAGGAGATTTTTTAGCGCAACATATTTTTTTAGCAAAACAGGCACACCGTACGTTTATTTATGAAAATAATTAACTGAGTTAAAAAAGTAAGTTTACTTTAAGATGTATACAGAGCACAATGAATGTTTATAAATTACAAATATCAATTGAAATTTATTCTATGTATTGAGTATGTACAATAGGATGGGTATTTACGGTAATCTAAGTTAACAGTTCATCTATAAGTTATGAGTTACTATCTTTCATACTTATTGCATGGTATATACAATATTATAAGCTGACTTTGACATTGTTAGCTAGGTTAGGTACTGTACCTCATCTGGTCAGTACAACAAGGCTTAGCCTTGAAACATTAAACTGGACTTATAGTCCTTAATACAAACGTTTACGTTTATTATAATCGACCACATATAAAATATATCATAAACATAATCTTAGGTGACAACAGACACTTTCCGTGGTAATCACATAAATGTCATTTAAACCAACTTATTTTAGTAATAATTGTTATTTATTTAATCTTTATGCATTAAATGTCGTTGATCATCATAAAAAATAACATATTTGAAAAAAAAGTCTTTGTAAATGATTGATTTTTAATAAAAATCCTAAAATTTTAAATCGTCATATCAAAGTCATTTGATATTTTTTTGTCATCAAACTTTTGGAAAATAAACATACTTATAATATCTGGGGAACCGTGTCTCAAATTTTGTCTATCTTTTCTCAAAAAAATATTACGTAACGTCAAACATTTTATGCGACTTTTTTCACCATACATATTACGTAATTAAAGATAATTAAGTCGCTGATTGAGCAAACAAAAATCCCTGACACGGTTCCCTCCGTAAATGAATTCCCTTTCATGTGCTTTAAACCGCATGTTAATTGCTTGATTATTAAAAAAGTTATGCCGATTCAAAGTTAGTCCGATCCGCATCAAACGAAGTGTCATAAATTGGCTGTTCTCTCTCGGACCCCTACGTTTCACGCTAAATAATTACATAATACACAAATATCGCACCAGAGAGGGTCACAAGTTGCGGTAACATACACTAACAACATTTTATGACCCAGTGACATCTGACCAATTAAAAAGTTGCTGATTAATATCAGTTTATAACAGAAATTTCTTCACATCTTAACGTGATTTACCGTTAGTCTGGTATCGGTTGCACATGTCACGTGACTTTCGGTAAAATTTGAGGCACTCGGTGGGGGGAAATGGGACGTATTTGTGCACCGCTAGCGGGGTATTTAATTGTTTCACATTTGAAGTTTATTATTATTATCATCAGCATTATTATTATATTATACCAGTGTCACTCTATCTGTCTACTCGTGTATGAAATTCCGTTAAAATATAAATTAAAATAACAAAAAAACTGAGCTTCTGACAGTATTTTAAAGTCCATGGTAGATGTACAAATAAGAACGGGATTTTATATATTTTTTCCTCCAAATTGATATAAATGCTTCACATATTTTAATAGAAATAAAAGGTATCACTCGATCATTATGATCTGACCTTCTTGACTTCTATTATCATGAAAATCATCTATGCACGGCATAGAGATCCAGTTTCTACTGGGATATACAATAAATTCCAAACTTTCTCCCAGGTTTATTAGTACTGTGTTCGATTTACTAGCGAACAATTTATTCAAAGCATTCACTGATAATTTATTTTATTATCTTTTTTTATTTTAGTTTAAACATATTTTATTGCATTTAATACATGTTTACAAATATAGCATACAAATAAAGTATATATATATCAAAATGCAAATGGGTTGGGCAACAAGTTCTCACAACATTAGATTAAGCCCTTCCCAGAAATTAATTTTACAAAAGAAAATACTTTAAGGCAACAATGATTATTTAAACATGCATATAAACTTAAAAATATGTATTTCATTTTTGAACAGTTCATTTATTCATTAAGATTTAATGTACAGTTTTGATTTTAAAGTGCGATCCATCCACAGGTTGCCATCCCGATCTCACTGTAGTTGTTAAAATAGTTGAAGTTTGGTTTTTGGGGAAAGATTGGTAATGAATAATGTTATTTAAGAACGCTGGATTAGAACAAAAAAGCCAATGTAATTGACGAATTTTAGTATAAACACAAAATGAAAAGTCAAATATTATCAAAACGATGAGTTGTCTTGACAAATTTTTGAACTGATTCGAAAATGACAACGTTATCTTCGTATTCTAAATTTTCACGACCGAACAATAGTGTATCAATGTTTAATGGATGGTAAGATCGAGTTTCTCGAAAGAGTATTATTCGTTGTTCGACGTAACGATTACATTTGAAAAAGAAATGCTCGGTATTTTCAATCACAATATCACATTAACAAAAAGGGTCTTCGCGCAAATGGTTATTATATAAATCGTTATTTAAATTACTACAATTATTTCTTAGACGTGTATGCAATATTGATAAGTATCTCTGGCCATAAAAATAGCGCTTCGGAACCGTTGGTGCTTTAAAAAGATTTTTTAGTCTAGATTTAAATATGTTGAGTGTCTGAGAGTTTCGTATATTTGGGTCGAGGTTATTCCATAATTCTAACGAGGATGGTAAAAACGATGCATTATATAACTGAGTGCGTCTAGCAATAGTAACATAGTCGTTATTATTTCGCAAAGGATAAGAAGAAATTTCAGACACAGTAGGCGGAAACAAAGAAGATAAATAGTCCGGTAGTAAACCTTTTTTAGCTTTGTAAACAATTACAAGTTTTTGAATTTTTCGCCTATCAGAGAGTGAGACCCAGCCAACTTCTTTGACCTAAAAATCTATCGATACTGACCGAGTTGCACCCGTAATAATTCTAGCGGCTTCGTATTGTAATTGCTCAAGTGATTGTTTTTCATATGCAGCACATCCATCCCAAACAATTGAGGCGTACTCAAGTATCGGACGCATATAAGATATATAAATCTGGTTTAAAGTAGATCTTTTAAGTTGGAATTTTAAAGCACGCATAGAGCCTAATACTTTTGACGCAGAAGCTGAAATATTATTAATATGATCGTGCCATTTCAAGTCGCAAGAAAGAGTTAATCCTAAATGTTTGTGATTATCCACGAAATCTAGAGAGATATTATCAAAAACTAAAGAGGGTTTGATTGCATGATTTTGAGAGAAGAACATAACTTCTGTTTTATTTGGGTTAAAATTAATCAACCATTGTTTAGACCATTTATTTATTTTTTCAAGGTCAGAGTTAAGAGTACTTTCAATGTAATTTAGATCGTTAGAGGAAACGGATAAAGAGCTATCGTCAGCAAAAAGTCTTGTTACGCTTAATAGATTTTCAGCAATATCGTTCACATATATAAGAAATAAAAGGGGACCAAGGGCCGAGCCCTGTGGGACACCCGCTGGTATATTTAGCACTTCCGAACATTCAGGACCAACAAAAACAGATTGTTTACGATTAGATAAATAATTTTCAATCCATGTAAGAAGTTCATTATTTATACCATATTGTTTCAGTTTGAAAAGTAAACCCGAATGCCACACCCTATCGAACGCTTTTGATATATCACAAAATACAATGCAAGTAGATTGCTTTTTGTCAAATGATTCGCAAATTTGATGATACATGTCGATTAGTTGATAAACTGTCGAATGGCCCGGAAGAAACCCTGATTGTAACGGATATATCAATTTATTACAATGCAAATGGTTATATATATGCTTAAATACAATTCTTTCCATGACTTTCCCAATGCAGCTTATTAGTGATATAGGTCTATAATTGGAGGGAATATGGGGGTCACCCTTTTTAAAAAGGGGCATAACATTTGCAAGTTTCCAGGAACTGGGATATGAGCCTTCATTGAGTGATCTATTAAAAAGTACACTAAGAGGATAACAAATACTGTTTCGCGTTTCTTTTAAAATTCGATGGCTAATTTCGTCCGGCCCTGTTGCTTTATTTAAAGTTAAATTTGCAAGAATATCTTTTACCTCTTGTGATTGGATAGTGAAATTGGGTAATATGCTCTCCGTTCTAGGAAAGAAAGGCGGTAATTGGGTATTTGATGCATCAACGGTAGAAACTGAGATAAAATATTCGTTTAAACAGTCAGCTTTTTCCTTATAAATCTTTTTTTATTGATTCATAGAGAAATAATCATCCTTAGACAACCGAAAATGGTTTAGAAATTTGTCAGGGAGACCTTACCACAAGTCATATAGGCGTTCACATAAAAAAATGTTGTCTGTTTTTGTTGTTGTTTTACTTGACATTGTTAGAAAACGAGGTTGAATGTAAAGCAAGCCCTTGAATCCGTAGAAAAGTCCATAAACTCAATGTAATATCTATCAGATTAACGGGACAGACACATTATTTTCACACATTATGGATATTTTAGCAACTATATTTTTAATCAACCCCGTGGTCGTGCGATTTGTCGCTATGCTTAGTTATTTATGTTTCATACATTATGTTACGTACATTGGCCGACAATTTCTTATTTTATAAAAAAAGCTAAATAAAAGGTAGACGATATTCATAAAAGATGTACGGTATTTGTACGATACATGAATTACGAGTAGTATGGACCAGTATGGACCGGTAATTCACGCATATATGGAACTACCGATTTCCCTCATTGATGCCTCAACAGGGGGCGGAGCGTTATCGATAATTGACAGGTTACGCGATAGCAGATAAAAATAGTACAGGTACCGTTTTAAAACGTTTGAAAACACATTTTTTGGACTAACTGCTTCCAAAATTAAATCACGAATGTGTTCAGAAAAGGTTGATAAATATACTAAGCAAAAAATCTCATTTTAGGTATTTTCAGTGATAATTGACTCCGTTGCATAAATATAGTTGTTCTTAATATAAAACTAAATATAATTTGATTAGTATACTCATTAAATTTGTTAGGGCTTTTCATATATTAAAAGAATTGATTGAAATTGAATTTACTAGTTGTTGTTGTTTAGTCCATGAGACTTATTTATAAGTCTACTGAGCCCTGAGAATTTACTCCAGTTATAATTTGTGATCGTTTGGTCTCCGTGTAAAGCATTGATTCTCATTAGAACCTGATCACTATTACAAGTATATATCTTGCCTTGATAGTATACTGTGCTCCTCTTAGTTCACGGTACTTAACGCTTTGAAACCAGATAAAAAACAAGAAATGAATTTTATGGTACAAAAATTGTCATAAGCTATAACATATAGGTGTTTTCTGCTGTATGACACAAGGAAACAACAATATATTCAGTCTAATTTAATTAAATGAACAAAACGTAGACCATAGGTCGGCCATTTTGAAAATAGTATGTCATCATTTAAATCGCGGTAATGGTGTTACATTTCAGTTTTTTCATGTTTCAGTAAAATTTCTACATGTTATTTTGCTTGATTCTTAATATTGAAATTATTCTTACTTTGTAACTCAAAATTTATTTTTTCAACAAACAGGAACATTTAGAAAATGATGATTGTTTCAGACATACGCACAAATTTAATGGACTTTTATTGCTTTTTGCAGAAATTCGTAAAATGTTGTTCTTGTTCACGTAAAAAAATCTAGAGATTTAAAATATTTTGCAAAAAACTTTGTTGTATAGCTCTATGAATAAAATATGTCGATTCTGACAAATTTTAACACTGGTCACATGAAAATATGCCATTACCGTGAAGTAAGTGATGACACGGAATTAGTGATGTTGAGTATATATTATTTTCAGTGTACTTCATTAATATAAAATTTACATATTTGTTGTTTTCAGGATGCTGCATAAAATGGTCTAAGCCAGAGCCTAGAATAAATATTTCTTGAAAAATGCTGCAAGTAACTGAGGAGCAATTTTTCATACCAATCATAGGTGCGACTTTTAAATCCCCCCTTTTTGTAAATATTTTGTTGTTTTATGTACATAATTTGCTGTCAATATGAACATTCAGCTTTATCTCAATTTCTATGCTGTTTTATGATGTAAATCTTAGAGATAAGCTTGAGTTCACACTAAAGGTTACACAAAGTGCACCAGACCTATTATATGTATTAAGCAGTTACCATTTATTTCAATGAATAGCAATTTGACTTTTACAAAAAGATAGATAAATATAGATATCTGTATAATAGTTTTTCATAATAAATTTGAAGTTGTGAATATTGGATTTTGTAAAATATGGCGTAAAATATTAGAACAATAATTTTTCAAAGTCATTACTTTTACTGATTTTGTACTTTAAAACTTAAATGTTAGAATAAGTAAATATAAATAATTATAACTTTAACTGATATTAAATATGATTCTATGATTTTATTATAATCTGGTAATAAAATATGAAACATTGAAATGCTAATTAAACAAAATTCAGTCATTTTTTTGGGGGTGGGGTGGGGAAATTATACCAATTAGTTACTTTTTATCTTAACGTATGGTTGTTTTAGTTAATATGTTTATAATTAGCCTAAATTTTGTCAATTTTATCTCATTTATAATCTCTCTTACCTTCTCAAACTGAGAATTACCTAAGATTAATATAAATGATATATATTATTCTGAAAATAGATATTTATGTATAATGGTGGTATGTTTGAAATGTGGATTAAGTATTGATATGTGTGGATTAAGTATTGATATGTACCTGTGGGGTACTAGTATACTTTAACTGACATGGATTTGTTGGCAGAAAACGCCAAAGATCTTCAATCCATGTTAGATGCTTTACCCATAATTAATTACAGTGCCCCGATTTGGGGTGATAAATCTTACTCTTACATTAATGCAGTTCATCATAGGGCCATGCGTTACTACTTGGGTGTTGGAAGATACACTCCGAATGTGGCTGTAAGTGGAGAGATGGGTTGGAAACCACCAATTGTTAGACAGTGGGTGTCTGTATTTAGACAGTATTTTAGAGTTATTAATATGGATGATAATAGAATTAATAAGTCTGTATATATGTGGTCTAAAGCAAGTTATGCAATATGGTTATTTTTATAAGTTTATTATTAAATGCAAAAATATTTCAGTTTTCTTTTTTCTTTTTGTACTACTTGTAATTTATTTGCAACAACATCCAGAGAATACAGAATTTACATTGCCTACTTATATTTATCATCTGCCTTTTGTTATTTACCCTGAGGGACTCTCTTATCAGCAGGGTACTATATTAAATCCCCAATACGTACACAGCATGACTTTTGACACTTTAAATTTTTTGTAACTGTTTTCTGCTCATGTATGATATTTTATTTTTTTTTAAAAAGGATCTGCATTAAAGTGAAAAGGAAGTTGCAAAAGTTTTATAATCATGTTTTTTTAATATTTTATCTTCTTAATGTGTTAAAACTGACAAGGCAAATTTGTCAAATCTATAATAGAAAAAAATTAACATTTCCCAGTTCAGAAACTAAAAGATGCTGCAAATTTTAATGCAGAATTGCAAGAAATATGGATAAATATTGATACGAGGTCTTTGTAGAATAGTTAACACTGATATTGATTTAAAACCAGTTTTTTATGATGAGATTAGAAAATTCCACTTCAAAGACAATAATGACAATAATATCTAACATGCGTTTATGCCATTATGATCATTTTTTACATTTAATTTCACAAAAATAAACAGAGACCGGTGAACGGAAACCGTCTATTTTCGCCGGAGACCGTATTATCCTTATTTACAAGATTTACAAAATGGCGTCAAAGAAACCGTCTCAAGAGCAAATTATTGCTGGTTTTCAAGAATTAAGACAACAGCAACGACAATGTGTTGGCAAAATATCAGATATTGAAATGGATATGAAAGAACACGAGTATGGTTCTTTTTCACTTCTCTTAATATATAGTATAACCAGACTTTCGACATAATTTTCAAAGTTCAAACACGTCAAATTGACTGGCAAGTCAACACGTGTTGACAGTCACCAAAAGGTTTTCCAGTCTCTTCAGGCTTTTTGAAATTTAGAAATTATGAATTAATGAAAGTCGAACCAGAGATTAGGCGCGTGGGATTGGTAAAGTGTTAACTCGCCTTAAACCAACGGTACTGTAACAAAAATTTAGGAAAATGCGAGTTTTTTTTATATAGATCTATTTTACTCGCCTTTCATAAAATGCATTCACCCTGCATATTGACAGACAAAATTTGTAAAAACCAAAAATAAAACTCAATTTTACTAGTATAATTGGCTTTATTCAATTACATATTGTTCAATAATGTTTATAATACTTTTAAGCTCACCTGTCACAAAGTGACACCGGTGAGCTTTTGTGATCGCTTTTCGTCCGGCGTCCTAAGCCATTTCATCCAAACTTCACAGGAATGTTCCTTTGGTAGTCAACTTGTCAACTTTAAAAATTGTTCAAAGAATTCCATGCAGAACTCTGTTTGCCATGGCAAACGAAAGGAAAAACTTAAAAAATCTTCTTTTATAAAACCTAAAGAGCTAGAGCTTAGATATTAAGCATGAAACATCTTCTAGTGGGTGTCTACCAAGTTTGTTCAAATTATGGCCCTGGGTTAAAATTGGCCCCGCCCCAGGGGATCATTGTTTTTCCCTTTATGTATAATGTAAAATCTTTAAAAAAATCTTCTTTTAAAAAACCTTAAGAGCTAGAGGTAAGCTATTTAGCATGAAACATTTCTTATGGGTGTCTACCAAGTTTGTTCAAATAAGGGCTTTGGGGTTAAAATGGGGGGGGGGGTCATTTTTTTTCCCTATATGTGTATTGTAAAAACTAAAAAAAATCTTCTTTTAAAAATCCCAAAAAGAGCTAGAGCTTAGATATTTATCATGAAACATCTTGTAATGGGAGGCTACCAAGTTTGTTCTAATAAAAGCCCCTGGGTTTATATTGGCCCTGCTCCATGGGCCTATATACAGGTGAGAGATTTCAGGTCCACCATGGCACTCTTGTATTCTTTTATAACATTATCTTCAACATAGCGTTTTTTTACTGAATAACTTGATTTATATTAAATATTTAGAGAAACATCATTTGGATCTGGAGAATCTTTCTCACCCTGACGGGCGGGTTTGATAAATTTTTAACTCGCCCTACCCAAACTTTCAAGCTTGCTATTATGGCATAACTTCACAATAATTCATGGAGCCAATTTTGTGAAGGGACGTCATGTCTGGGGCCTAGAGGTCTTTATTATTTTTGGTTTTAAACAGTAATAAGACACTTCACCCTATACTTCCTTAGTCCTTAATATATGACATGGCTTTGAGATATTTTTACTTCTTGACAAAGCAACCATCATAAAGTATCACAAGCCTGTAACGCATACATGCCATAAGTTCTAGGTAACTGAATGGACATTTTTTTTGGGAGTCCTTGAGAAAAAGCAAGCAAAATGTTTCTAAGATTTACAAAGTGGCATACAATCTAGTTTACTGGTATTAACAACTGCAAATATTGACAGCATAAACAAGATAAATGTTGATAAATCGGATAATACTAAGCAGTTCATCAAATTTTTTTTTAAAGTAAGGTGACGATTCTTATCCTTAAATTGTAATAAACACTAATATACAATTTAATCATTAAATTATATAAAAGGCATTAACAATTTATGTCTTGTTTGGGTGGACATTTATACTACCCATAGTGTTACAGTGTTTGTGAATGGTTTCAGACAGTCATGTTTTTTCTCTTACATAAGTCTTGTATATCACTTGCAATTTTTCAATTGTTTACCTATTTACTCTGAATTTCAGGCTGGTCATAGAAACATTAAAAGAAGTTGATGAGCAGAGAAAATGTTTTAGATTAGTGGGAGGAGTTTTGGTGGAAAGAACAGTAAAAGATGTCTTACCAGCTTTAGTAAATAACAAAGAACAAGTAGGCTTATTCCTTAACTTCTTAAATAGTGTTTCTCAAATGCTGTTCTTCACAAAACTGGTTTCTAACCTTAATAGATGAATCTCTTGCAGGTTTTGCAAAAAGAAATTACAGAGTTAATTGGTGTTAAAATAGATATAGAGTTTAAGTAATTATCCACTTAATGGATCATGCCTAACCTAAATTAGATACAAGCTTCTGTAGATTGTTATTAACAAGTAACATATTTAAATAATACTTTGTCAAGATTTTTTTCTCATGAAATAATTAAAATCAAATTTTATGTTGTAAATCTTACCTGAATTGATTTTTTTTTCAGATGGGAAAACTAGTGGAAACATTGTCTAGGCAGTTAGAAGCAAAGGGTCAAGAAATTAATCTTTATAGGGAAACGCATAATCTCAAAATCAAAGGAGAGGAAAACAAAGATGTAGAAAAACAAGAAAAAGATACAGCTAAAGCTGGAGGTGTTCTTGTTGCTAAAGACAGTTGATAAACTTCCTGTTGCTAAGGATTTTTTCATTATTTTATAAGTAAAGTTCACATGTTGTGTGGAAAATAATCTTGCATAAACTCTAGGGTATAATACCTTTCTATTATTTTTTTATCTGAACAATGTGGTTAAGTGAAATTGTGATAAAACACTAAAAACAGATGATTCAGTTTAACTCGTCATAGAAAAACATGCTCAAAGTGAGCCATTGTGGAAATTCACTTCTGTCCTCCTAGCATCTTGACACACAAACAAAAATGACATAAGAAGTCATGTTTATTGCATAAACTGTTAAGTCCATATTGGTAAAAAGTTAGTCTATAAATCAACACTTCCTAAGTCATTGAATCAATATAAGCAAAAAACTACTAAGGACGGTTCCTCGGTGATCAAAAAGTGTTTAAACATACAACAAAACATTTCATACAGTACTCTAATTCCCATGGTAACCAAAAGAAATTTTTGTGAATGTTTGAATTTTTGTGAATGTTTGAATTTTGACAGATGATCATTAAATGAAACTGCATCAACAATGTTGAAATATTTTTTATTTATTATATACATTGCCCAAGTGGGCATGGTCTCTGTACATAGAAATATCTACTTGTAACAAGAAAAGTATTCATACAATGACATTAAACCACCCGAAACAGACATATAGAGTTAGTGCAATAGATTTTGTGTGTGAGCGTTCATGTGTGTTTTATTTGTATAGCTTACCAGTGCACATAGTGACCCATGAGTCACTTGCTTTTATATAGGAATACTCTAAAATCTTTCGTCTTTAGTTTTAAAATCTAATGTGTAAACTTTACCTTTACAAAGTTCAAGGTCAAAATCTGCCAGGCCCCATAGGTCAATTTGTATTATATTGATTTATATAGGAAATTACTGAAAATGGAATGGTCCTTACTTTAGATACTTAAGACTAACTTGGTACTTAGGTAGTAAGTAGTATTTACTATTGTCCGTAAGACCTTTACCACTATGGTGCATGTACCTTTTGTGATTGGTCAGTCACTAAGATGAAAATAGATTTTTTCTCCCATTTTACTCATTTATCGCATGGCTGTGAGCTTTTCCTTTGTTCTTTCTAACCCATTATACTCAGTACACTTCAATGAGCATTTCAAAACTGTATTGATATATAACAGTACAGTTTTTTCATTGATTCATATAGGAAAAAAACTCGACTGTTATATATCGGTCGAGTTTTTTTCGCACCTTGTATATATCAATACAGTTTTTTCATAGAGGCTCCAATGGGGCAGTGGTAACGACCATTCCCAGTAGCAAAAAAAACAACATAAAATCATAAAAAAATGAAATCAATAAAATAAAATAAAATAAATATATAAATACAATGAAAAATATAAACAAAGATAATTAATGAAATAAAAAAGCCCTTTAATCTTAAACCAATCTTGGTAACAGTTTAAAATCCGCCTCTTATATTGGATGTCTTTTGTATATTTTTTTGCGGCAGCGAAAACAACTTGAAAAACTGCCTTATGATAAATAACTGTAATGTAACTAATGATTAATGTATTTATTTGTTTCTATACAAAAAAGAAAACATTATGCCTTGCGATAAAACATTTATAGTATATGAAACTCGTTAGTTACGGGGGTATAACACTGGCTGGGGCGACATCTCGGGATGTTTCTGCAAAAAAATTCTCTCGGCCTCGCCATTATTTAGCAGAAAAGCACATTCAATTAGCACATTTTAATAACTTTAAAATTGCTTTGTTAAAGCATTCATAACAATCAAGTTGTGCAGTGATCTTGGTTTGATTAAATTATCACTCTTTTATCAATAGAAATTTTAACAATGGATAATATGTATCAATTAGAAGTATCAACTTATACAATCAATGAAACAATTATGGCTAATAAAAATGTTTTTCATACTTATCAATTTAAAACAATTAAAGAAATTGCCTAATCAAATATGTGTTATGCAGTTGATAATTTAAACTTCTGAACTAAATAAAGGTTAACTATTGATACATAATTATAAATAAAAAAACAAAAGTTCATTATTCATCAATTTTTAGGGAGTATAATAATACATTATTCATCAATTTTTATGGAGCATAATAATACATAAGAAACCTATGAAACAAGGGGATTTTGTCCGGGTAGTGAAGGGGATTTTGTCCAGCCTTGCAAAAACACGAAGGGGATTATGTCCACCCATGAAGGGGATTTTGTCCGGGTATGCGAAGGGGATTTTGTCCAAAGGGGATTATGTCTGACATTCTAACTATCCCAATTTTTGCATATTGATTTGCACAACTTTTTATTGTCAGCTTCAATGACAATAAAGACGTATGCAAGGGTTACATAAAGACATAAAACAAAATGAAAACTAGACCTAGATAATAGAATTCATATAGTAGAAAGTGATAACAGAAACATCGGAAGCGAAAAAATGGGAGTCACCCACCTTCGAGTTATCTGCCCTATACATGTACAGTAGAATCCTTACTTAAGACCATTCCAGAATTAAGACCACCTCACTATTAAGATCATTTTTTAAAAGAATGGAATTTTCTGTTCTTTATATTAATGGTTACATGATCCAGAATTAAGACCACCTGCTTATCCGCTTTTAAGACCACCACATTCAGTCCCAATTCATTGTTTTATTCTTTATTTGACCCCACTATTGAGACCACTGATATTGAAGTCAACACCTACCTAATTCTTAAATTTGTTGTTATGTCTGCTTGAATGCTCCTAAGCATGACACTTGATTTCACAAGGTGTGAAAAACTGTTGTTATTGGGTTATTGTATGAAATAAGGTGAGAAAGTAAATTTAAGAATGGTTTAATGTTGCTTTCAGCACATTTATTTTGTGAAGAATTATTTTCTTATTTGATAGGTGAACTATGTACATCATATAATAATTAATATTGAAATCAGGCCAAAGAGAATTTAATGTGAAATTTCTTCAGATATATATTTATTACTCATCAGATTAAACATTATAACATACTTTTATAATATTAATATACATACATGTATTCTTCGTTCATACAACATGACTAAAATAGACCATGGTCATAAAGTATGTAAGCAATAAGAATATTCACAATAAAGACCACCCTCAATTAAGACAACTTTGGACCAGTCCCAATGGTGGTCTTAATTGAGGATTTTCACTTACGCAACGTAACAAATTATGATCTGCATTTGGCAAAACCAATACAATAAGCGTCCAGGTTTCACTCAAAATCGATATTTGAAAATATTGATTTGAGTACACACAGACAAGATATGTTACGCTTTATCTACTCACGAGTCACTATAGGTAAACACAGTATGAATAGTTGTTTTGCATACAATATTGTACTGCAAAATGAACTGTCAACATCGTCAGCGTAGGTGCCATACATCATCGAGTGTTTCGCCCCGTTTTACCTAGGACACTCTAATATGGTGGGACCACAGTGGGGATCAAACCACTGTGTGTTGACAGCACCAGCTCTTTTCATCTCTCCTAAGCCACAACCAACAATATGCCTTTTCAGCTGCACTACTGACTGAGCGGATGACTTGCTTTCTCTGATAGCCAGTTATTCCTATCTCGGTCAGCATCTTCCACAATGACTTAGCTGGGAAGCCCCTGCTTTCCATCCTTTCTTCCTACAGTCTTCAGTTAACTGGGTGTACTTGGCTGATTTACGTTCGTAGGCCTCGTCACACCTCTCTTCCCAAGGTACCGTCAGTTCAATGAGCACAATCTTCTTGTCCTGCGGGGCCCACAATACTATGTCTGGTCGCAGAGTTGTCTGGACCACCTCTGGGAAAACAAGTCGCTTTTCCAGGTCTACTCTCATCTCCCAGTTCAGGACCCCACTCTTTTGTGCTCCAGTAGATCCAGCTTGGCCCTCGCGAACAAATGAAATTCCCTTCTCTTTCTGAGGGAGTTTTCTATGCTTCTTCCTTTCCCTCTCAAGGGTGTCTGCTAACTGCCTCAAGACTCTATCGTGCCTCCACCTGTAACGGCCTTGTCACAGCGCTGTTGAGCAAGAACTAAGAACATGCTCCAGTGTTCCTCTCTTGCCACATAGAGTACACGATGGATCATCGGTTAGTTTCCAGCGATGGAGATTAACTGGTGTCGGTAGAACATCATACACGCTGCGGAGAAGGAAGCTTATACGAACTGGCTCCATCTGCCAGATATCTGACCAGTTGAGTTTTCTGTCTGGTAGATTCCACTTGGTAGATGCTCCTTGACTCCCCATCTGTACCAGTTGTGCCATTCTTTGCTCCTACATACATAGTATCATTAAAAAAACTGGCATTTTTATTTTAAAGAAAGGACAATATAAACTTGACCAGTAGTAGGGAAAACAGCTTCTCAAAAATAGTGCATTCTCTTAAATCAATAGGAATTTGATGTTTCATCAAATTTCTGTAATAAAAGTATTTACCAAAAGTTGAGCATGGTATATCATAGTATTTCATTATATCTAATCTGATGAAGTGTAGAATCTTTTCATTTATAGTGAGTGGCACATCGATAGGATGTTTTAAGGGGAAAAATCAGTATTTTCACGGAAAGTGAAACCGTGTGTTTGGCTGATCAGATATTCACGCGGTTTCACTTTACGAAAAAATACCGAGCTTTTTCAGCAAACATTCCTTATAAGTGTATCCTCACTAGAATGAGCGTTCTCTACAGTTATGTGTTGCAGTAAGATCGTAATATGCACCCCGAGGATATACATGGGCGGTAACTAGACTTGCCACAAATTCAATGGTTTTCTTCAATAAATTATTTTTTCATTGAAATTAATTCCGAGTAGCGTATGAATTTACAACTTATTTCAAATTGACATAATCCTTGGCACGCAGTTCCATTCTAAAATGCTCTGAATTCACGTCACTTTAAAGCACCCGACTCGCCTGGCACACTCATGTCAGCATGTGTAAAACTTACGGAAATACGTATAGTCTCAGAAGAATTCAAATTCAGGATTAATTTTCTAAAAGAAGCTCCAGTGAGTCCCACTGTTGCATCGCTTATCATTATGTTAATATATCCTATGAATTAGATCAGAATATTTATAATATTGTTTAATATTTTACCATTTAGATGCATCAAATCTCTGGTGTTTTTCTTACACAGAACGCACATTCGCTAAACATTTCTTCCGGTGCTATGAAACTGCCTTTCTGTATATGACTATATATTATTTTATCAAGCTATAATTTAACCCTTTACCTCATATAGACGTGTTTTGACGGCTTTTTGACCCCCCCCCCCCTTTGAGGCCTCGGTGAAAAAAAATGCCCTATTTAGGCCCCATGCAAACACTGTTTTTCGTAAAAAACGTGACCACTTTTTCGGCGCCGCACCCCATCAAAAAGGTACATCAGACCGGGGTTGCCAGAAGGAGGATGTGCCCATCTGTTTCGGGGGTTTGAAGGGGGCGGCAGCCCCCCTCATCGCCATGTGACAGGTTAAAAATGGTCTCAGCTAGGTCGATCGTAAGGTAACGTGTAACCAACGC